CGTCACAGATGAATCGTGTCAAACGGATGTGAATCCCAGCGACGGCGTTTACGTCACAGATGAATCGTGTCAAACGGATGTGAAATCCCAGCGACGGCGTTTACGTCACAGATCAATCGTGTCAAACGGAAGAGGTGGACGGCAGCGGCAACAGTGGCGAGTTGTATACGGCGACGACCACGACGAGATCCGCGTCGGCCGCGAAGTGGTCGGACGCTATTATACAACACTCTACAACAATCCGGAAGACGTTTGGCGGTTATACGCAGTGGACGCTCAATACTCGCATGTGGACGGGGACGGGTGGCGAACCGTGGTCGCGAGCCGGCCACAGTTTCGCGAGCTTTTCAAAGCTGTGGGCGCGTGTGGCGACGTCGGTGACGGCCAAGCCGTGGTCGTCCGGTAAATGTACACCGTTCGGTGTGCGGCCGGCCAGTTTTTGGTGACGGCGACCACCGAACGGCACGTCCAGTCGTTCGGTGGTCGGTTTAGATGCGCGCGGGGCGTTCACGGTGGCCGCGTCCACCGCGCAGCACGCGTGTGTCGCGCGACGGCCGCCGCCCGCGGACTGAGCTTCCGCGGCCATCCCGTCCACTGAAGCCGTTCAGCGGCCACCAGCTTTTCGTCGGGCGCATATTGCCGTCCACAACGTCTGAGCACTTGTCCCCAAGCCCGGATTAAGAGGGGGGAGGGCCAAGAAGAGCCAAGTCCCCGGGCCCACGTGTGTAAAGGGCCCATAGTCTTCTCGGCTTAAAATTACATTAAGTGATAATTTGTACTTTTTATAGTACCTACAAAAATATTTTTATTTTTTTCTTGTTTGAGCTAACAGTCGATGGGGCCCGTCGACCGTGTTTACCACCAATGGTATGGTAAGTGGGGACACATAGCGTCATAGCCAGGTTTGTGTTTGTTGGGAATAGGCATATATTTTGATATCACCGTATTTAAAAATAGAATTGGGAAAATTTATTTATGTGACTGTCTCGGTCATGGACACTCATAATTCAGATACCTACCGACTCGACTGTCTAATATCTTCTTAGTTCATTGTATTAAATTATTATTTTTTTTTTGTATGTTATGACGTTATTGTTTATGTAGTCATAAAGACGAACAATTTTAAAGAATTGTTTTTATTGACGGAGGCCCACAACTATGTATTGGCCCTTGAGCCCCTGAAGCTCTTGATCCGGGCTTGCTTGTCCCGGACGTTTGCTCAATTTGGGACGGTGCTGAATGTCCGCGTCAAAACCGGCGTTGACCGGACCGGCAAACGGGCCGAAGTGAACTATGGTTTCATCGCGTTCAGCGGGCCCGAGAGCGGCGTTGATGCCGCCACTTGCCGGAACACCGATCGCGCTGATCAACGGCAATCGGGCCAACGTTACCAGGCCCAAACGCCGGTGACGCCTATGCGTTCCGATGCTTCGTCTTCGTACCTCATCCCTCATCCTTCGTCCTTCAGCCGCCGCCGTAGGGTACGGGTGATTTGTGTACATGACTTGTATGTTGAAACGATTAAGGTATTATAACGACTATAATTTTATAGGTAGCCGACGATGAAAAATCGGTACACATTTTTATCCGTTATAATGGCCGACAGTGTGCTCTCAATAATAAATTATGATCACTCGGAGATATCGTATTTGTGTTCGTTCGACACGCAATAATATTTTGAAAAATATACGAAATTATTTCAGTAAGTGGAATTGTGCACCCCGCAGATCTTCGAGAAGTGGCTCGTAAAATTTCACTCCAAAGCCCCCAAATTTTTAAGTTACGCCTCCGAAATTCGTTGTATTGCGATATCGCAGAAAATATTATGTTGTTATTATTTATACGTATTATATTATTTCATTGCACTAAATATCGGAACCAGATTCTCGACGACATAGGTGTAGCTGAATAGCCTATTCTTAACGCCGTCTGATGTAAGAAATAACACATAATATAATATTAAGCCGGTTAGAACTGTTAAAAGTAACGTATTTATTTCATGATTTAGATCTAACAACCTTACAAAATTATCCACTCGTTACATATTTCGTAGATCGCTTACGAAATTTATACATTTCTGACATCAGCCAAATGCCAATAGGTCACAGCAGTTCATTGATCACATAAAAATAATAACAATGACCAATACCTTTACTTAACTTTAATAAGGCTTCAGAAGCAAAAAACTATCATCTGTTGATTGTCTAACTAGCACTCTCTCATAAAATTTGCTAAAATAAAAAATAAAAAGGTGACGCTAAAATATTGCAAATTAACGGAAAAGTGTTTCGACATATACAATCGACAAAAAAAAAAAAACTTACTTTATTGTATATATAACAGGTATAGGTATACAGTATAAGTTTGTTAACACTTTATTAATTAATACTAATTATAAGACTAATAAATCAACTTTATCGAAAATAGTTTGTAATCTTTGAATTACAAAGAGAATAATTATCCTTATTAAAATTTGAAAGAATTTAATAAGAAAAACAAACTAGATTTATTTTACATAAAAAAAAGACTAGCCATTATAATATTATACTAAAATATTATGAGAAAATTATTATATTATCTAAATTAATAATATTAATAGAATTAATTCCAAAATACAATGGAAACTACTACGCAACTATTTGAAAACTAATAAAAATAAAGTTGTTCTCGAAATTGATTATAACCATTCAATTATCATTAGACATGTAAATTTAAATCATAATGTTGCTACAAAAATACCTCATACAGAAACCAAAACTAAAAGTAATAAAATTACTTTATTAACTTATTTATTTCCTTAAATCCAATTACATCCGATAAAATAATATTTAAAATAAATTCTCTTTAAAATTTTATTACTCTAGGTTCTAATAAAATAAGTGTAAGATTATTAAAATCCAAACAAAAATCAATCTTTGTTCCCTTATTGTATATTTTTAATTTATTTATAGAAAAAAATTATATTCCAAATAAATAAACACACTGATATTGTCTCCGTGTAATAAAATATTAGAGATGAATCAGGTCCTAATAACTATCGTCCAATTTTCTTAATAATATGTAATATTGTTAACATCTTTAAAAAGTGAATTTATACAAAAGTAATTAATATTTTTTTTAATTAAAAAGGGGTGAGCCAGAAGTGGTAGGTATACTTATACTACATACCTATATATATATACGTGTGTATTTTTAATGCTATTTCACAAATTATAGAAAACATAAAATATAGGTAATTGAAGAATTTAAGTTGGGAGTTTGAAGCTGTTGAAATGAATATGGAATTAAATGATATGTCTTTAATAAGTTTCAAAATAAAAAAAAATATTTTGGTAAGAATTAATGATACCTAGCTGATGAAGAGAGGGCAGCGATTGAACGAAGTATAATAATTAAATAATGATAGTATAATGATAGTATAGAAAATCACGATTCGCTGTGTTCAATTTTGGAAGAATTTGCAAACTTCGATTCATGACTTCCGTTCGAAGTCAATAAGAAAATCTTGTGTATACATTTCAAGCATGTTCAACTACGAGGCAAGTAGTATAAATGCCGTAATGTATAATAAGCGTTCTATACAGTATAATATATTAATTATAACTTAACCGTAATAACTTGTAATAATATAAAAAACACATCATTTAATCTAATAAACCATTTTAATAAAGAATAAATCAAATTATACTAATGACAGTATTACACGCGAGAAAAAAACAATGTTTACAGTCTTAAAAACAAAATATGAAGTATGAACTTAACTAAAAATTCTATAATTTTTTTTGTTCTTTTTCGAGTTCTCGAAGAAGCCAAAAAATGCCAACATGTAAAGCACCAACAAGAAATTTCTAATGTTGTCATATTTGGCATATTAAATGTCAAATTTAATTATTTTTTCTTCTTTTTATGTATACGAGATAAGTACTAGTAAAAGTATTCTGATCATTACACATTTGCTGCATAATTCTGGAAGACAATGTTATTCTTCGGCTACTTTATTTAAACTTTGAAAAATTAAAAAGTTTGCTTATTGATTTTATTAATATTTATTGTATATAAAGTAAAAGTAGAATACTTACACTTACTTTTAAAATCGTTAGTTAATTCCAAGTTTGAACACATGATTTACTGAATACTGTGGTATACTTTCAGTTTCGAATGTTTTGTCTAGCTCTCAAATAAATAATAGAAAACTAAATTTTATCAATATGTGACGTCCAAATTTAATCTTAATCGTATATTGAGTCATATTAAATGAAATAACAATCTTGCTATGTTAATTTATATTATTAAAGTACTGTATTTAATACTTCAATTTTCAGCTGTCGATATTTTGTAATTTTTGATACTTTGACTCTCGACGATTCGTACCACATCCAAGGAATTTATGTAGTCTTTTAAAAGTTAAAATGATTTCAAATTTTTGCTGTCGTTACTCCTTTTTAAATCATTTGTTTTAAATGACTATGTTAATGGCAGGTTTTTTAATAGACAAAATACCTAGAGTTAAGTTATCTTAGAAAATGAAACTTGAACCTTTTGTCACTCAATTTTACATGGAATCATTATTCCCAAAAACGATTGATTCAAGATTCAATCGACAATTACCAATAAGGACAGACATTTCAAATGAAGTAGTTTAATACAATATTATTATTACTATTCATGATAAATTAAAAAGTTTTTTTATGCTCTTAAGTTTTTATTTGATGTTTTTAACTTTTAAGCTGATAGGTAAATAAATACATTAAACATAAGTATCATTAAATATAGCACTGTATCCTCTCAAATTAAATTTTTTCCAACTTGCATATAGTAATGAAAAATAACAATCATTTATGTTTTTAAATAATTGTACAAGACATTTTTATTATATGTGTATATACATAAAAAAATATAATATATTTAACATTATCTAAACCATAATATCATATTTAATACAATCACTTTTTTGACCGCCAATCAATAAACTCGTCCATGTCTGAATCATCAGATTCTTCGGCTTCACTTGGTTCATTTTTAATTTCCATGTTATTCATATTTTCTGTAGCTAAAGCAATTTTTTCTCTCTTTTTTTCTAGTTCGATAACTCTGTAACATAAACAACATAACTTAATTAAATTAAATTAAAATACAAATAACTACTATATAGTAAATAAAAATACTGAACACAAATAATGATGTAAAAATGCGAAAGAAAAACACTTTTTATGATAGTAATAAAGGATAACAGTTATAGTTGTAACCACAAAATTATTAGCTTTGATCACTGCTCTGTTCAAAAAATGCATATTAACAACAAAGTCATGTCATGTATGATCATCTAGTCTGTATATATATTTAACTGTAAGCTATAGTTTTCAATAATCAAATTTATTTTTTAGAATATTATTGATAGAAAATAGAAAAATTTCAAAAATGATTCAAAGCACAATTCGCCAAAAAATGATTAACTGTTAAGAGCTTATTTTTTTGGTTACAACAATATACGGTTATAAAATAACTACAATAAATTACTAAATTAAATGCATTACATTTGTATCATTTAAAATTATCATACTAATCACTAATACAACACAAAACAAAATTTAATAATTGTTGAATCAGATTTTGATAAGAAAAAAAAGTAATAACATTGGCGCATAATATATTCACAAGTTCAAGTAAAATATAAATTTTAAGAAGTATCAAATAATTTATTTTAAGTAAATAACTGTTAAAAATTATAATGTTTTAAATAGTAAATAAAACATGAATATATATCATAAAAATAATAATAATTAAATTAAATCTTTTACTAAAAATGTCAATGATCTTTTTATAAATTTAAATGTAGTGTATACTTATGAAAATATTAATTGTAATTTAAGCAACCATATTTTAGAAATTTATGTGACACAAAACTATATAACTTATTGACCATATTTTTAACTTTAACCAATATATTTTTAGAATATTTAATGACCTAAAATATTATCACATTTATCAGTATTATAGTTTATAGCTCATAAAATGTATTTTCAATATTAACTATTGTATTATTATTAAAATTAAACACACTTTGTCCAATGTTTGATTTGTTCGTCAATTTCTTCTACTTGTCGCCCATAAGTAGTTTCATCTTCATTATCTGCCATTATTTGTTCAGATAACATGTTCTCTTCTTTTATTTCTTTTTGAAATTTTATAAATTCTTCATCTATTGAGCTGACATATTCTTCATTTCGAATCTAATAAAACACACATTTACCAATAACATAATAAAATTATTAATCGTCTAATGCAGAACCCACCTTAGCATCTAACATTGGATCATCAAAAAATCCTTTTGGAAGTTCACCTTTATCGAGATTTATATCATCAATATTATCTGTTTCTTCATCCATTTTTTCGTCAGTTTTTTGATTAACATTTGTATTTTCTGATGAGGTTGGTGTTGGGCTTTGAAAGAAATCATTAGGAACTTTTTCTGGTGGAGCTTTATAATTTTTTAAAATACCTAAGTAAATGAATTAAAAAAAACTGTTTATTTCAAATTAAATTATTATTAATACATATATAAAGAAGTTTAATTTACCTTTTAATTTTTTTGGTGGAACAAGACTCTCTTGTTTAGGCAGAGTACGTTTTAAGGTTTCTGTAGTCACTGCTAACCTTTCAGTCATTTTAGACGATTCTGGTTTACGTTTTGAAATGTTTTCCTTGTGAACCTTAGAAGAGATATGAGCACTCCACAAAGAATCATCTTTTATGTTCAATTTGCACACAATACAAGACAATTGACCGCTTATGCTATATGTTTATGCTAATAATTAAGGATTTTAATTCAACTTCATCATAAAATCTTACATTGTAAATTATAACATTAATTTGATAATACTTGTATTCATATTTTATTATCAATAGTTATAATAAAATATATTGAAAAATTAAATTAATATTGATTAATCATTATAATTATAACCAATTTTTTTACTTTTAAATAATATATTATATATTAGTTATTTGAATCATTGTATAAAAAAAAAAAATCGTAATTTAATATTATAACTTATATCTCGAGAAACAACAAATTTAAAGTGATTACGCAAAGTACTTGCCATAATAAGAAATAAAATATAATAAATAATCAAATTTTAACTATTATTATTTGATTTTAATATTTAGAAAAATTAAAATTAAACATAATTCATATCATTTAAATTAATTCGTTAACTTCCTGATAAACAGTTCAATATTACCCATTTCTTTTTGATAGCAGGAAAAAACAATTTCAAAATTTAGTAAAATAACGAAATAGAATAAAATCAATAAATATCAATAATATTATTTTACATTAAACCTAGATCAGCGATGGATAGGAAAAATATTGTTCTACCGAATTTTATAATTTTCAATGTTTGATTACAGCTATAACTACTGTGCGTTTTAATGATTTGATTCAATTATATTTTCTATTAATGTTTGTGTTAATTTATCATTATAAACAGTCATAACCGGACAACTAGCCTACCGAGATTTTCTCAGTAGCTCGTTAGCCCAATGCGGACCAGACCTTGATTTGTAAAATGCAATATACTGCCAACACTATTTTACACATCTAACTAAAGAATAGACACAGGATAATATCTCTAACAGACTAACAGACTATATGGACATCTAAAAAATTGAACACTAGTCACTACGAAATGCACTGAATGTAAACATTACATTTTAATATCTCTGTACAATAAGTAATATGGCTGTTAGCATAAAAGACAATCAAATGACAACATTTGATTACACAATAAAAAGGATATTTTGCCAATGGTGACTCTATTTTCTTTTTCACCCTCTGAGTCTGTAGTTTTTGCTTGAGCATTAATAAACGCAGTTCGTTCTGAGACACTTGTTTCTTCTTCGCTGCACTCATCGATGCCATATTTTGAACAATTTATGAAAAACTCGCGAATAAATTAACAACAACAACACAACGAAACTATCGTTGTTTAAAATCTTTTATACGTAACGCGACTTATACACGACATACACGTAGCATACTTGTTTACGGACACTACATTAAAATTATTAACATAATATTTAAACAGTTAAAATTCAAGTTTTAACAACAGACATACAAAAACTAAACATTAAGTTTTTTAATCAAAATGAAATGTGATAAGGAAATATACAGCCACGGCTGTAGATAGTACAGTCCACTCCGTGGTAATATTTTATCTGGTAATAATTTTCTTTTTGGCGGTATTTCAATATTAAAATATTTATAACACGATATCATCACAGAATATAAGCATTTAAAGCTGTTAGATATTTAAGGTTTAAAAATTGTATACACGATATTTGTAATTTGTACAACAGTTACAGTTTACAAGCAAACCGTCTATTGCGCCTATAAATTTCAAATTTAAAAAAATCTATGAACGAATAAGTTTATAATCGTCACAGTATACTGCTTTGGTGAGGCAAAGAAAATCTATTTTTTTTAAATACATTCCTTCTACTTTAAGCAAGACATATAAATTCCAAAAAATCAGGATGAAAATAATTCATTATTAAAAAAAAAAAAAAAAAAATGGAAGTGAGCAATTTTAATGATTAGAGAATCGCTTGCTTAATACAAGTATCAAATTTTATAGTAAAACGTGTTGATACAGTTGTGATAATATTTTATGTACCTACCTAACATTAAAAAACTCATATCGATCATTCGATATTATTTGTGTAAATATTATATTGTATTATAATTTCTATACGATGACAGTTACTTAAGATGTATCTAAATTGATCTTGTATTATTTTATCGTGAGACAAAATATATTTGAACAGATTTTTCATTCGACAAAATATTTTAAGCAAACCATTTGTACAACAAGTCATTAGATATTGGAATCGTTGAAATAAAAAAATGATTAAAATGGTCTGCACTGAATTGTCATTAATACAATAACACTTATTAAGAGGCAGTCACATTCGCACGTGTATTTCTCCGTCTTACACGCGTCACGTGTACGACATGGTAAATTTTCGTTCACTAGTCTCAATAGTGTGTTTTTAGTTTTAACGTTAAGATTGAATCGACCTATTGTCTATTATCAAACTTTTAGGTAAGAACGTTAGCTGTGGTTCTCTCGGTGGTTTTTACGATATTTTAAGTTTTAAGTGAGTTATAATTATGAATAATATAAATATTTGAAAATGCTCATAGTTCATTTAAAAATTAAGATATCGTAAAAAATCAACGAGAAAACACAGATAATATTCTTGCCTGGACATTTTAACACTGTTAACTGTAGACCGTAATAAAATCCACGGTAAACGAAAAATGAATTAAATAATAAATTTACCGATATTTGGTAGCGCTCGTGCGCAGTTTAAGATTTTAAAAATTACTTTTCATTTGTTTATTTACACACGTTTTCTATTTTAAACTTTGCGCCAGTGGCAGACTCGGATTATTCACCTCATCACCCGCCGCTCCACCGGTTCGTTACCACTTTACCAGTCCTTTCGAACCGCGTCCGTGTCTGTGTCGTGTCACTAGTTCGGTGATAATAATATTTTAGTCTTGTGATAATATCCATGTCAATCACAATAATATGATATGATATAACATAATATTAATATTAAATTATCAATTAATAATTATTATAAATACCAAATAGCAATAGAAGAGTACCTGTGATCATAAACTAGTGAATTTTGTCTTATAATTTTAATGTTTGTGAGCTAAAAAAAAATGTCGAGCATTTACGCTGAGAAGAAACCAAGTGATCGGTCCAGGTAAGTTGGTCTATCGACTCGACCTGTGCTTCGTTTCCTATAAGTATCCATGTTAAAATACTAACCTACGCTGTCTCCATAATGGTGCAGGTGGATATGCATTTATCCAGCATATTTGAATAATAAAAAAACATTGGCCGAGGGACGTATCGTACCGAAAAAATTTGCGGTGGAAAATCCTACTTACCAAGAGATCCTTGAAGTGGTCAAGGCATCCGGTTTCAATGCCGAAGTTGAAAACAAGATGTATTCCCGTGAATGTAGCAAGGAATGGCACTTTCGTGGTCGGATACGGGTACAACTTAAGAATGATGACGGAACACCTTTCAACCAATCGTTTCCTACAAGTGAGTTTGAAATTTTTTTTTAAAATATAAAATACAGTTAATACCAACTTTAAAAAAGAATTCCGAAATCTCAACTACGAAAAATCATAACCATAGTGCAATTTTAGTTAAGACCAGTTTAACATAATAAACTTTTTTTCCCCATGTTAACTGGTCATTGTTTTAACTTGGTTGCACTTTACTCACAATATTGATATTTTAAAAATTTTAAATCATTTTTATAATATTATTCTATTTTTGTCTGTTAACACATTCAATGATTTCATTGTTGTCCATAGTTTTTGTTAATTAGCCCTCCGTACTAAATATGTAATGTATTCAAACTTTGAAGTATTGAAGTTCTCAGCCAGTTACTATACGCCTTAAAACAGAAAATCTCCATTCACACGTGGCAGAGATTAAAGGAAGAATTAAGTTTCTTCCTTTAATAAGTTACTTGTATTTATTCGTATAAATTAGAATAGATGGTTTTTGAATTGTGAAATTTAAAGTCTTATTGTGAAATTTCAGTTTTGCTATTAATGCCTACTTGTTTACCTACAGTTCTTTGCAATAGTCATTCCTGATATCAACAATTAAGTAATAACAAATCCAAAATAACTTTTAATAGAAATAGAAAACATTGATAATATAATATATTAAGTATTTTGGAGCTAAGCTCCCTCAATCACTTATCCACTAATTTCTAATTATGCATGTTTATCTTTATTTAAAAAATTAAAATATGCTATAGGGTATATGAATTATGAAGAAATATTTAAATATATTTCTTATTTTTATTATAAATTACTTATTAAGTAGTAGAGACCTTTTTCATATAAATTTTAGAGATTCGATTTCAATATATATTTTTACGATAACTTTTTACTGAAATCAAAGCAATGATAATTATAATATTTTATAAATCTCCTTAAAGTTTAGAAATATTTTCATTATTATCACATATTTTGTTAGTTAATGTAGATACAACACTATACAATTGATAAATTAATAACTTACCATTAGACAATTTATTTATGTGTTTTAGGAGAAAGTTTGATGAAACATTGTGGTGTACAAATTCCAAAACTAAAAAGTCGTGTGATGAAAGTAGCTGGCCCTGAACAACATCAAAACAAAAATGAACCAAGTGGAAGCAAAAAGAAAAAAGGCCGTAAATAAAATATTATTGAAGAAATGATTTTATTTAAGGTTCTTTTGTATTATTTTATTTTGTCTTGTTTTTGTGATGAATTAAGTTGTGGAAATTGATTATAATAAATACAATGTTAATTTCAATGTTTTATTTATTTTTTTTTTATAATCTATAAATGTATTTAATTATAACATAGACATTTAGGTAAATGTAAAAAAAAAAAATTTCATTTAAACAATAAAAGTGTTTTTTAGAGTTTAATATTTTACTAACAAAGGTTTACGTTAAAATTAAACACTTATTTACAGATTATCCAAATAAGGTGTTGTTGCTACATTACCATAACCAGCCAATGATAACTTGCTACCGGCTACTTTGCCGGCTGCTTTCTTCACATCCTCAACAGTAACTGCCTCAACAGCAGCAATTAACTTCTCAAATGGTATTACTTGTCCAGTGGTAACAGCTTGTTGTGTAATATTTTCTAAGACTCCGGTACTAGATTCTGATGCTGATACAAGAGAGAAAATCAATTGTTTCTTGGCTCTGTTTACTTCGGTTTCAGTGACTGTAGGACTCCTTAAACTCTGTACCGCAGTCTTTAACACATTACCGATATCTTTACCGTTGTATGCTAACAGGAAACCAAAGAGTCCAGAATCTGAATAGTTATAGTTTACAGCAGATACGGCAAAATTATCTGAACTGTTTGCTTTTAGGATACTTTGTTCCAAGACTCCTTGTCCGACTCCCCATTTCACCGATGATCCTTTGCCGAGTAAATACTGAAGTACAGCATATGAAGCACTCTGAGAATCCTTGTAGCTTACTCCTTCACCGACAACGGCCAAGTATGTAGCGTCCAATGCCTTGGACTTTCTCACGTCGCCACCGTAATATTTAGTTTTTGGTGTTTGGTTTGCATTTCCGGTGGGTAAATTCAAATCTTCTGAAATGTGTACCAATGTGTCTACATCGACGCCAACACTCGATATGATAGTATTTTGGGCGTTGAAGTTTTTCTTGACGTAATATAAGAGATGTTCCGTTCCCAATTTTTTGGCATTGTATTTGGGCAAAAACACTGTGTTGCCGAGGGCGTTCCTGTACGCAGCCTTGTGAGCCAAATCCAAAACTCTGAGTTCAGGCGGAATGGTCAGTAGTTCGTATTGTACGCGTTTCATGTTGTCGGAGAGTTCCCATGGCTTGAACGACTGATTCGAAATGGAATCAATGAAATACTTCAAGCTGCTGACGAGATTGTCCTTGTGCGCTTCGATGGTGTACGTGATCGTCTCGCGGTCGGAAGTCACGTAGTAGTTGGTGCCCAAGTGGCCCAGGTTTCGTACGATCGAAAATGTGGACGACAATTCGGTGCTGAGTCCGGCAGAGCTGCGGACGAGATGAGAGATACCTGCGTTCTCTGGGTCTTCGTACCGCGATCCGGCCAAGAAAGTCACCGACACCCGTCCGATGTTGGTCGGGTAATCGGGAACGGCTACGACCAGAGAGTTGTTGGGCAATTTTTTCGTCTGCACCTGTGGGCCTTTGATGGACAACGCCGCCGCCGACTTGCTGGCGTAGCAGCGTTTGGCGATGTTGTTCATCACGGGAGTCTTCAACGTTGACATCGACATTTTATGCGAATTCGTCGGAGAAACGTTTAAATTGTGAACTTGACCGCAAATGCGCGTTTCACACTTAATAGTTAATAGAAAAAATAATCGCGTTAGGACAAACGGGTAGAGAACGAAAACCTATGATTGAAAAACAGCTGGGCTGATAACAGATCGCCCCGTTTGTCTATGCTCTTTGGGACATTTTTATGAAAATTCGTAATAATATGAAAGAACGATAATCGAAGAAAATTTATCATTATTCTCGATTATCGTAGGAAAAATCAGAGTAGGGTGCGTTTCTCGGATAGAACATTCAACGATTTCTCCGCGCCCGACCGCGGTATGATAACAACCGCACTATCTGCATTGTCTTTGGTATTTAAGGTTAGGTTATCATCACAAACAATGAAATTACAACAGTGATAGTGAAGTTAAACCTAAAGCCGCTTTTGCAAGTCATACGGTTGAGTTTTTCGTTACAATATACGATTTGTGGTGTAATAATATACAAATATTTTTCAAAGTTTATAATTATCACCCCGTAAAGAAAATTTTGTTTATTGAAATTCCAGAAATTTTCTCAAACTTATAATCATGTTCTTAACACGTTCAGAATATGACAGAGGAGTAAACACATTCTCTCCCGAAGGCAGACTGTTTCAGGTATGAATACAGTCATTTTTTATTTTTTATTATTATTTTTAAGTCAAATAATGTTGAATATTATTTAATCTTATTTGTGTACATTATCGTTCGTTATTGTTTCAATTCATCAGGTGGAATATGCAATTGAAGCAATTAAATTGGGTTCTACGGCTATCGGCATTTGTACACCTGAAGGTGTAGTGTTAGGTGTAGAGAAACGAATCACTTCACCGCTAATGATCACTAGCAAGATAGAAAAAATCTTTGAAGTTGATAAGCACATTGGTATGTAGAAAACTGTAAATTAATGACTTATAGATTCTTTTACTACAATACAAGTACTGAATAACTTTCAGGTTGCGCAGTTAGTGGACTGATTGCAGACTCTCGTACAATGGTCGAAAGGGCCAGAGCTGAATCACAAAACCATTGGTTTACATACAACGAACAGATGAGTGTTGAATCTGTAGCACAAGCTGTATCAAATCTAGCCATACAATTCAGTGGAGATTATGATAGCAAAGAACCTGCAATGGTAAAATATCATTTATCGTCAGCACTATTTAAATAAATATTTGTTAGCTATATTATAAATTACTCCGTTTTATTTTCAGAGTCGTCCATTTGGTGTTGCAATAATGTTTGCAGGTATTGACAATAATGGTCCTCAACTATTTCATTTGGATCCATCAGGCACGTATGTCCAGTATAACGCTAAAGCTATTGGATCGGGTAGTGAAGGTGCTCAACAGACATTGCAAGATAAATATCATAAAGTACATAATATTATCATGGATTTTATTAGGAAAGTAAATTATTGTTATCATTTATCATTTCTATTCCTTAGTCAATGGGCTTAAATGAAGCTATTAATTTGATTCTGAACATACTGAAACAAGTTATGGAGGATAAACTCAGTCCTACTAATATCGAAATTGTTACTGTGACACCTGATAAAATGTACCACATGTTGGATAAAGAAGAACTTCAAGAGGTTAGTAAAAATAATACACATTTTAAAATATATTAACTATTTTGATATTTCAGGTATTTGATAAGCTCGAACCTTTCCCTGAAGAAACTAAAGCTAGTACATCAACTGCTGTTCCGGGAACTGTTGCCTAAAATACATTTTGATTATAAGTCTTAAACTTAAGAAAATATTATCATATTTCATTGGTGTATGTCATTGGAGAAAAATTATACGTTTAATATTTTTCATATGATTTGTTTTAAAAATTCTTGATTTTCCTAAAAAGGTAACTGAATTATATTAAAATGTACATTTTTCTATATGATTATACTTAAAAAGTATTAGTTAAGGTTGGTATCAATTGAAATTAATTCAAAATACAAAAGTAATCTTGTTAATTAAGATAACTGTTTTTTAAAAATAAATTATTAAAATCAAACTGATCTAGATATCTTTTTATAAGATAAACCTTCTATTTTGGTTATGAAACATTGAAATAGAAAAAAAAATTATACTAGTTTTTATTGTACTTTATTCTCATTCACAGAAAAACTATTCCTTTATTATTTCTATGTCAATGTTTTATTTTTTTACCTTTACAAAATAGTTGCAATATGTAGATAGAAACAATAATTAAATTTAATTAAGAATCATTTATGAACATGCATATTAATGGCACTATTGATTTTTATGATTAATTTAGATATGATTTTAAATTACAATTTTTCTAGATATATCATGTTTTTAATGTTTTTATTTTATACAAAAAATTATGAGATTGATATTTTAGTACCATAATTTATTTATGGTAGACTCAAACTTATGGTAAAATACCAATTTTTTGTATTTTAGATTCAAATCTTTTACACCCATATAAATTTTTATTTGAATTTATACAACAGTTTATATTCTTTATTAACTATAATAAAATTTGATATGAGCTTATAAAATTAGGAAGTTAGGAAAATAAGTTAAAATTAAATATCAAAATTTACTAACTAGTAAATATACTTAAATAAATAGATATTAAATCTTTGTGTATTATGAAGCAAGATTATTTAGAAAAAATGAATTACTTTATGAGCTGAATTCAATATGATAATATGCTAAGTTTTTATAATTGTTGAACTTGAATTTTTATTTGTAATGTGAAAATTGTTAAGCCATTTTCCTATTCTATTAACTCTAAAAAAGTTAACTAATAACTAATCAGAACAACAAAAACAGCACACGTAATTATCATAAATAATAATTTCAGTATTTTATTTTCCATTTAGTAAAATTAGCTATAATAACATAATTCATGAATATATGTATAAAAGTATAAAGATATAATAGTTTATAACTAGATGGATTTTATAAGTTATTAAAATAATATTCTGTGTTTAGTTATCAAGCATTAACAAAAATAACCAAACAAATGAAAAATTTGAGATTCACAATAATACTTAAAAATGTATTGCAAGCAAAATGTTCAAGTATTATTTACATTTTAAATATAAATAAAATAAAATATTTTAATGTTCAAATATTCCCAAATTGTTTAAAATTATGATATTTTAAAAATAATTAAAAATATACATTACATTTATAATACTTTCAAAAAAAAAAAAAATATAATCAACAGTGAAATTATTTCACTTTAACATTCCATTTTTAATGACAATGGCTAAAATCTTCCAAATTAATAATTTAACATACATATGTAATAACAGTTGTACCCTGTTTTATTTTCATCAGTTATCACTAAAAGAATAAAACCTTAAAGTATCATGATTTTCTTTAGAAATTCATTAGAGTTGAAAATTATGAATACTGGATGAGGCATATTCTGGTCTGTACATGGCACCTTTATGAGAGCGACTCGTCCTGTTAGAAAATTCAGAAAATCGATCTTGGTCCATCATTGGCTGTGGCATTAACATAACTGGTTGCAAATTCAATGACTTTCTAGAGCCAGCCATTGATGCACTACTGTCACCCAAATATCCACTATTGAGCTCACCTATGGAAAAAAATGTTTTTTTTTTTTTTAATATTGGGTGCTATTTATATAAATTATTAAAACATTAATAAATTACCTTTACGCAAAGTAGACGCATACAAGGGTTCTGGTTGAAGTTTTATATGCCTAGTCGCTAAAATAAACGCCAACGCCGATAAAATAAGTGCGTCCACACTAGCAATGACTGCTAATAAATATGCCCAACGAAAATTACAGTCGCCAAGACTATAGCTTTTAGCTTCGGGACCACAAGTCTTCTGAATGTGTGGTGAATCCCAGCCCATTGGAAAAACAACAATGGACACGATCAGACACACGGCTAAATATTAAATATGCCAATGAAATAGACATCATAATTATAAGGTAGGTAAATATTGTGAAAAAATCTGCTTACCAGATAAAACGTGAAGCCATCCACAAATAAGGTACACTGTCGTCGATTGAAAAAAGAAAAACAACAACAACATCACCACAATAATTAAGGCAATGCACACCGACACACTGCCAAAAATTGCTGCCACTCTTATGGCTACACTCGATATGGCGGAAAGATCTTCCAGCTTACCCTGACAGTCCTCGACAGCAGTCGAAACACCATTGCCAAAGTAACAGCTGCTCCATAGCCCGAAACGAGCAGGATTTTCAGACGTTGTAGTGTCGCCTATCCATTCTGGAGTGATGAAAGCCACTGCCACGATTATTGCATAGCAAACTGTAAATATGCCCCACAAAACGCCTACCGCTTTGGCGTTGCGCACATAGTTTGTGGCGTACATCTGCGACGAGTCCACATATTCTATTTTGGAACCCATTTTTCGAACAGATTCCAATCGGAAGTAAATCGCGCTACGTAATGTATGTGGCGTCACGGAAAACACCACATATTATTATTGCCAAGTCGGACTCACCGTTATAAAAAACGATTCAAGCAGAAATTTAATGGTCCAGTTGCCGTCTCGTTTCGGTGAATTTCAATAGGCAATCGTCTCAGCAATAATGGACAGCGATGTTTGGCGCTCGGAGACTAGACCCACTTATTTTCGGATGATACACACAATAATACAATATCGTTACACATTAAAGCGGTGGGGACGGACTTCACGAACTAGCGGAATTATGTCTAATCTAATTGTCTACTGAAATGCTACAAGACTAGAGAATAGAGATTGGAATTTGATTTGGACGAAATACGAAGACAAGGCAAAACAATGATAACAGGTTTGATAAAAAGTTTCATGGAAGAAGCGCTTCAAAATTGTATTCAGATTAAAACAATACATGGAATATACAACAGTAGTATTCGATAAATGGCGGAAAAATCTCGATGGAAGGAAACCGACGATTTCAGACTTGGAAAACTTTGAATGTAAGTACCTAACGAGGCTAAAACTCTAAACTCTATACAGAGCAATCCACAACGAGTTTTCGGATTCACGAAAAAAATCCTATTGCATTTTTGAAAAACCTAATGCAAACATGACAAATGCGTACCTACATAGGTGCCTAAAATTTTTTGTTTATACTACACTGCATTCTGAAATAGGGAATGAATAACAAATATCCGGTTAAATGGTGTACGTGTTGTATTTTATTCGTTAGGTATATCTATCAGCTATAACTAGGTTATACGATGGCAAAATACATTCATTATTTCAATAACTATAAACACTTATGACAATATTTTTTTACATAGTTTATGTTTATTGGTTAAAATGACAACACTTTTCAAAAACAAAATTATCTGTTTTGCTATTTTTAATGTTATCGTCTTTTAAATTTTGACAGCATGCTTTTTAAATTACTCATTCCGAAGCAAAATATTTTTCGTAGATGTATAGACGTAATAAACGAAATAATCGACTAAATTACATCTAGAAATTTCATATTACCCACTTGTAAATCCAAACAATTCGTCACCTACTAGTTACCTAGAGCATTTTTATCTATAGTGCATTTCAATGGAGTATTTAGAATTTCTTTAAGGGGGGGGATATAGTTAAAGTTGTCGATACCAAACGTTTCAGCATGTATTATTCCCTACTGATTAAATGATAAATTGAAAAATCACATCTATAATCATATTAATATAGGCAAAAAAAGGGTACCTAGGGGAGGGATATATATCTCCCTAATCTGCCTGCGTAAATATGCTAATGTTAAATCTATGTAAATTGAGTTGAGTTAATTCAGGATACTAATTTATCGATCATCTGACATCTGACATTACCAGATATAAAAATAGGACATATAACTAATTTTTATATATTTCTGGAAATACACTTTTTAAGAAACTTAAATTAACTTAATGAGTAAACAGTATAATAAAATAATCTGCTATTTGTATTAAGAAGACGCCACATTAAAATATTTTAATAAAAACCTATGTGATGGTTCAGATAAAATTCTACCCCTTTAAGTTTGGTCGTGGTTAAATTTACTCTGATATTAAAGCTAACATTTAACGACATAAAATGGATTCCGCTGAACGACAACTTGCTATGTTGTCTGTATGTATACGAATATAGCGTCTTTTTAATATATTTGAAGAAGTTGAATCCAAACAAAGGGCATCCATTGTCTTAAGGTTTTAAATGTTTTAATGATAAGTAATACCTCATATTTTTCCATAAAATAAATATATTTTTCTAATTTATTGATATTTAAATTATCCAAACGATCTTTAGCTAGACCTTAATATGTTCTTTTACAGGTATTTTTTAACAGTGTCAATGAATACTGTCATACAAAATAAATGTCTGGTAACGGAATACCATTATTTTCACGTTTTATAGTCGAAATATACAATAATATTCATTTTGTCCACAATATGCAAAAATATTCAAAATAAAAACACCACTGTTTATCTCATCATGAGATGATTTATAGACATTACTGACAAAATCAATAATCAAAAGTTGCAAAAAAAACATGTTATTGCTTATTACATAATATTAATCCTAGTCATAGGTAATTATTAAATATTATAATTGTAGATATATATTTTATTTTATTATCTTGAACTCATCCTCTTATTTGTCTTTAAATATCTTATATAAAATATAAACAAATTCATATTCACATGAATACTAACTAAAAATTTTATAATGATTGACAATTATTATGTTTACGCTTCACCGTCTTTAATTTACACTCTTAATAAAAACTAAAATTTGGTAAAAAAAAAAAATGTGTTCAACTTAAATTTAAAAATTTAAATGTAGGTATAACTAAAAAATTATAGTTGAATAATCAGACTTGTAAACAATATATTTGCCACGCGAATGATGCCTTAACAAATTGAAAAAAAAAGATTATCTGGCTCGTGGGCAGAGCAGCATATAATATAAAGTAATAATCAAAATAATAGAATAGTATGATAATATTTAATTGTATAATACTAAATTTAAACATGTAAATTGTGTACATTTAATTTAAAAGAAAAATTTGAGAAATATTTAAAAAATGTTTACATAAAAGTAGAAACAGTTAATACAAATATTGATTTCGATGATAATTATTAATTAGAATAAATTAATTTTTATCATTACTTTAATCTTATCGGACTTAATTATGTTTGTAATACAATCCACGAATCCATTGCTCATGGTGCTTAATGTTGGTAAAAACTGCGATTGAATTGTTTGAATTTATTTCCTTAAGACTCAATACGCCGGTTAAATAATAAGAATGGGAGTGTAAAAATGCTAAGCCTGAACCGCTATCTCCACCGCCTAAATTTCGTCCTGAAACTAAAGATATTTCATTTTTAAGACATAAATTAATCATTTAAGTGTTATTAATTACTTATTGAATTGTTGATACAATAATAATTTAAATTATCAATAATAGATTATGTACAAGTATCACATTTCAAGGATACATGAGATAAAGCACGTATACCCACCACAATCTGATAAAAATAGGTATGTTTTGAAAAAATAATTGTATAAAAATATGTATTGTATAATATATTAAAATTTGGTAGCATTATCTATGTGTTATGCACACAAATGCATCCCCGATTAAAAAAAAAAATAACTTGTTAGCTGATAACTCAATGCATTTCAACAATAACTATTATCAGCTACTTATCTAATACGTAATGAACTCAAATTGCTTATTGCGGTCAGCAATAACCAAAGCCTGAGTTAATTTTATCGCGTGTGATTTGGGTACAACATTATTTTTAAAGTCTTTTTTTTTGTAAAAGTTAAGCACAACAATTTATTGTATGGTATAAACTTTAAAGTCTTTGAGTTAATAAAAGTTCAATTATTAATTTGTAGGTATGTTTTGTATGATTAAACTTTAAACACAGTACCTATTTGAGTGCGAGTTAAAACTTAAAAGTATTTCCATAAATAACACGGACCTCGTACAAAATCTATTTCTTAATCAGAAATCAATAGTTTGTTATTAATTTAATTTGATTAAAATATTATTATTAAATATTATTGAAGAATGCTTTGGCTATCGAGAGCATAATACATTTTTTTAGTTTATTCGTTTTTATGAATTTATTATACATTATATATTCAACTCTTTTAGTTTAATTACAGAAAATTTGAAGTCAAAACCTAGTAAATTAAACTACAATTATTCTGTGTATATATTTCGATAAAAACTTGTGTAAAATATCGCAATAATTAAATCAATATCTACAATAGACTTTTTAATAATTCAAATACTCAGTCCTAAACTGACTAGACTTAAAACTTAAAAATCTCCTTATGGAATATAGATTATCAACTCTAATATCTCTAATTCTAGACATGACAAAATACAAAACCATAAATATAGCTAAATATGGAAGTTAAATAAATAATATGCAAACTGCAATTTAGATATGTAATTGAATTGCATTAAATACATTTCAAATAGTGATTAGAAATAGATGAATTTAAAATTTAAAATACAAAATATTAATATAATAATTATTCAAAATTGAAATTTCATATTGTTTTAATAATTAAAATAATGGTAAGACTCAAATTACGTATGTTAAGTAAGCATCTATTGATGAAATTGAAAATACATCTATGTTTCAAAAAAAGACTAAATAAATATTATACATTTTTTTTGTGAAATAATTTACAAACTTAAGTTGTGAATATTTGAAGTATCTTAAAGTAGTTATCATCAATAATTAAAGATTATTAAATAGATAAGTGGAAATATTAATTGTGAACTATGATTACTTAGATAATATACAATATTAAATAAATTTAAATGTTTAGAAATGTATCTTAAAGATATAGTATTTAATAAAACTAACCTATTCAGTTACTTTACAGTTGAAAAAAAACACAAAATAGTTTCATGGAATTACAAATTAAACATTTCATTACCTAATGTAGAACCAGCACAAAACTTATCATCAGTCACAAACAATTGAAATCCGCTATTATATATATTTCTGCAAGAATTACGGTCGATATATGGTAATGAAGTTTGTAATAAAATAGGACTTAATGTACCATTTTCCGTATTTCCCCAGCCAACAATCTGTAAAAATACAAAAAAATGTATAATATCCAATAAGGGTACAAAAATAATGTCATTTTTGTATGAATTGATGTGTTTAATATTAGTTTAATTATACACAATGATTAAAGTTTATTATTTTTTTTTAAGGCCGATTTTTTACGAAATTAAAATAAGGTTATTAATTTTAATAATTCGATTATAAGAATATTTTATTTAGTTTTGTTATTCAATATATACCAATCCAGTACCACATGACATTGTTTAAATTAAAATAAAAAATTAAAAGATGATTGTAAAGCCCAATTTCTAAATCATTGAATATTACTTTTTCGAAAATTGTAAATTTCGCATGGCGTAATTCTTAAAAAATAACAAATAAGACAACTTAACATATATCTCGCCATTTTGTACAAATTCAACAGATTTACAAAAATTATATATTTTATATTTAACTGAAAAACACATAATTTACACCTGAAGATACCACCCAATGTTGCAGAAGCACTTGATGAACACAACACGTCAAAAATCATTAAATTCCTAATTATTACCGATATTATTAAAAAATTTTAAAATATGTAAATAACAATTGTAAAGAAATTATTATTATTATAAATGTACACCTAATTTTAAGAAACATACATGTAATCTCACCAGGCTAATAACCTTTGCTGTTGAAGCCTTATTCTTTAATAAAAAAAAAAAAAAACATAATTTACCTTTCCTTCAACTCCGTTTGGTACATTGTATATACCATTCCAATCGATACAAATAGGTGCAACAACATTATTAAAAGAAACTATATTCGATAACACAATAACAGCTATATCATGAGCATGGAAACCTTGAAATCCAGTATATTCTTCATTTAAATAAATAGTTTCTACCTATACATTTTTTTTTTTTACTATAAATTCACAACTATTATAAATTTATACTTTCAAATTAATAACTTACATTCATTATTTGAGTAAATTCATTGTCAACTACTGTTAAATTTATATCATATTTTCCGATGGCGACTTTATATGATTCATTGTATATTGTTATTTTATTAGATAGAATTCCATTGTACCAAAAGCAATGAGCGGCTAAAAATTTGATTTAAAAAATATTTATTTCTTTTTAAATATATTATACAATTATTACCAGAAACGACTAAATTTGGAGCAATTATTGATCCTCCACATATGAAGTCATATTTTAAATTATTATTGTTTAATCGATATATTCCAACATTCCAAGGTGCTGTCCCAACAGGTGCTTTCTCACCATTAGCAATCAATGTTTGGCCATAAGCATACAATATACCACAGTCTAAAACAATATTTTTAAATGACAATAATTAATAATAGTTAATATATCTGTATGATGAACACATGTAAAATGTATTAAAATGTAAATCATATGACTAATTTGATCAAAATTACCTATCTTTACAATTTTATGTTCTTCTTAAACTTTAAAATTTATAGTAAAATAATAGAATTTGGATAATGTTATAGTCTAGTAAATTATACATATTTTAGCTACAAAGTTTTGTGATAAAAATACAATTACATGGATTGCATTTATATAGTTGATTATTCCACATTCCATTAGATTGACAAATTAATTCAAGTGGAGTATTTTCTAGTCCAATTGGTGCAAAGTATGTTGGTTTACATGATGGTATGGCTATTGTATCGGGTGTCGATGGATTTGAACAATTAGCAAATTTACCATTTAGAGTACATTTAATATCTAAACTATCTGATAATAGAGGGGGGCACATTTCTAAAAACATAACACATTATTAGTATTATAAATTATCAAACAAAATCAAACATTGAATAAAAAATACTTAGAAGTATAAATATTTCAGCATATTAATTATATAATATGATATAACTTACTGATACACAATTTCTCTGAGGTCGATAACCATTTTCCGTTTCCTTGACAAACTCTATAACTCTTGGAGTAAACCTTATGATATCCAACATCACAGTTCTCAATAACATTACGATACTGAATAATTAATGTCCCATCAGCTAATTTTTTATCCGAACCTTCATAAGAATATATTACTCCTTCAACGGTTGGTAAAACGCAAAATTTTACATCCTAAAAAAATCTTAGTTATCAAAAACGTAATGAGATATTTTAAATTCTTAAAAAATATGTTATTCTTAAATCAAAATTAGTCATAAACAAAATCAAGTCGACATAACAATAATAAAAATTATAATTTATACGTGTATGGAAAAAAAATGTACGAACATTGTTCAAATATTCAATGTACAGTTTACGAATCCATTCAACATGATGTTTAATATCTATAAAAACTCTGACTGAGTCATTTTTATCCGGTTGCTTCATATTCATTATTCCAGTTAGGTAATACAATTTTGAGTGTTCGAACGCTAAGCCGGAACCAATACTTAACACACCAGATCCAATTCTAGAAACTAAAGATTATTTTCATATAAGACACAAGTGAAATAAATTACTGATGATTGTTAATGTGGTTAATTTGTATAATGTAAATTTACAATATTAATTAAAAATGTTGTACAAATAGTACATTATAAGAATTTGTGATGTCACATGGTAAAGGCAGTATAAAAATTTAAAAGTATAATATTTAATGCTGCGAATTTTTATGCAAAAACAAAAATCTGAAGTAAAACAATAAACGTATACCATTGTACCTCAAGTAAAATAAATTATCGTTGATAATAAAAAAGCACTTTTATTTTAAATTTTATATTTAAAATTTCATATGAATTTGGGTTTGTTGTGTTTGTGATTAACACATATGGAAATATAATATGTGATTATTCATCACGTTGTGTATTTGGTACACAATGATAATAATAAGCATCTCTATCATTATTAAAGTTGGATAATAATATTTGTCTATATTTTTGTTCAGATAAGTATTTTTGATTTTACTTTTAATTTAAATAGAATATGTTGATCTATTTTTTGATTGAAAAATTTGATTTTAGTTCCAAAATTATATTATTTTTACATTAGTTTATACAAATTATAATATTTGTTAACAGTTTTATTAAGATCTATAGAGTATCAATTTATTATATTATAATTTTGATGATATTTACATAATATATAAAGATTTGTGTAATTATATAAAATAAATGAGTTTACACTAACTAATTAAGATAATAAAAATTAATAAATTATTTGTTTAAAAAAACTACCTGAGAGTAACTATTTAATATTAAGACGTGGATATTAATAAATATGATAAGGTATTCCGTTACTTGTGATATTAATAAACCGAGTGATCATGAATTCAGATAACTTAAAATATTTCAGGTGTACGAACTTTTAATTTCAGGTAGTATCTACTATACCTGTTATTTATTATTAATAATAAAAGAAATATTTAAAAACAGTATAAATATATCACGAAATATAGGTTAACAATTAATATTCTTCGATTAAAATTTATATTGTATAGAATGATTTATCATTGAATTCACATTTACAACACATATTACAGTGCCTTGTTTCAAAGTAATGAGGTGCCCTTAAAACTTATAGTACATCAGAGCAGTAAACTCCTTTTTTTTTTTTAATAACAATTTACAAATAGCTCACTAATTAGAATAACCAAATTTCTTAAAGTTTTTTCTGTGTAATATTAATTATATAATATTAAGTAACTACATTAAAAAAGAACAACATAAACTTTATATTATATTTATTAACATCTAAGTATTTTCTTACCCGATAAAGTACCAGCACAAAACTTATCAACAGTCATGTAATGTTGATATCCTTTGCTATACATTGCTTTACAAGATTTTTGGTCGATAAATGGTAATGCACTTTCTATTAAAAAACGACTTAATATACCGTTTTCCGTATTTCCCCAGCCAACAATCTGTAAAAGAATAAAACAAGTTTATAATATTCAATAACAGTAAAATAATAATTTCTAATTTGTAGCTATTGGTGCTTTAATTAGTCATATTATGTATTAATTTACTATAATGAATATTATTTTCTTAATTTTTGGAACCGGTCTTTTATAAAATTAAAAAAGGTTTTGTAGCTTAAGAATTTGAATATAATATAATTTTTTTTTTAATTTTGTTATTCAAAATATCAACATTTTTAAATGATATACCTAGTGAAGTATCTCATGGTATATTTCTGTCACATACAAGTTTACAAAAGCCAATGGTGGTAGGAATATAAGTTATCAATAATCATATCACAATTTTAAAACTTAACTGATTTATGGAAATTGTGCTACACAATCACTCTTATCAAAAGAAATTAAGTTACCAACCTGCACAAACAAGATGTTTTTTGTGTAAAGTTAACACTATCTAATATTGCTTAAATTAAAATAAAGTAAAAATTAATTGCAAGACGCAATTTCTAAATAACTGAATATTATTTCTTCAAAAATTGAAAAAATTTCTCATGGCGTAATTGAGAAGAAACTAATGAAGAAGACAACTCTACATACATGTCACCACTTTGTACAAATTCCACAGACTTACAAAAATTAAATTTTATTTATAAATTAAAACTCTAGAACACAAAATTTACCTTTCCTTCGGCTCCATTCGGTACATTGTATAAACCATTCCAATCGATACAGATAGGTGCAACAAAATTATTAAAAGTAATTATTTTTGATAACGCAATAACAGCTATATCATAATTCTTGAAACCATCAGCTCCGGTATAATCCTCATTTAAATAAATAGTTTTTACCTATACATTTTTTTTTTTTTAATTACTATTTCACAACTATTATAGATTTATACTTTTAAATTAATAATAGTTTACATTCATTATTTGAGTAAATTCATTGTCAACTACTGTTAAATTTCTATCATATTTTCCAATGGCAACTTTATATGATTCATCGTATATTGTTATTTTCTTAGATAATATTCCTTTGTACCAAAAACATTGAGCGGCTAAAAATGTTATTTAAAAAATATTTATTCCTTTTTAAATATATTATACAGTTTTTACCAGAAATGACTAAATTTGGAGCAATTATTGATCCTCCACATATTAGATCATAATTTGTATTCTTTTTGTTTAATCGATATATTCCAACATTCCAAGGTGCTGTTCCCACAAGTGCTTTCTCATCATTAGCAATCATGGTTTGGCTATAAACATATACTTTTCCACAATCTAAAACAATATTTAAATAAATAACTGTATGATAAAATATTGATGATTTAAAAATGTCCATCATTTGACTTATCTGATAAAAATTACCTATCCTTACAATTTTATGTTTTTCATAAACTTTGAAATTTGTTAATAAAAAATAAAATTTGAATTAAGTTATAGCTTAGTAATAAATATATAAACTAGCTACATATGTTTCATAATAAAAACACAATTACATGGATTGCATTTATATAGTTGATTATCCCACATTCCATTAGATTGACAAATTAATTCAAGAGGAGCATTTTCTAGTCCAGTTGGTGCAAAATATGTTGGTTTGCATGATGGTATGGCTATTGTATCAGGTATCGATGGATTTGAACAATTAGCAAACTTACCATTTAGAGTACATTTAATATCTAAACTATCTGATAATAGAGGTGGGCACATTTCTAAAAATATAACACATTATTAGTATTATAAATTATCAAACAAAATCAGACATTGAATAAAAAATACTTAGAAGTATAAATATTTCAGCATATTAATTATATAATATGATATAACTTACTGATACACAATTTCTCTGAGGTCGATAACCATTTTCCGTTTCCTTGACAAACTCTATAACTCTCGGAGGAAACCTTATAATATCCAACATCACAATTCTCAATTACAGTACGATTCTCAATAATTAATGACCCATAAGCTAATTTTTTATCCGAATCTTCATAAGAATATATTACTCCTTCAACGGTTGGTAAAACGCAAAATTTTATATTCTAAAAAAATCTTAATTATCAAAAACGTAATGATATATTTTAAATTCTTCAAAAACTATGTTATTTTTGAAGCAAAATTAGTCATAAACAAAATCAAGCCAACATAACAATAATAAAATTAGAATGTATACGTGTATACTGTATAGAAACAAATGTACGAACATTGTTCAAATTGTCAACGTACAGCTTACGAATCCATTCAACATGTTGCTTAACATCTATAAAAACTTGAATTCGATTGTCCTCTGTATTTGGTTCATTCAAATTTTTTATTCCCGTTAAATAGTACAAATTTGAGTGTACAAAGGCTAAGCCGGCACCACTATTACGGTGATCAGCAATTACTGGTCTTGACACTAAATATAATTTGTATATAAGACACAAGTGTAAGTAGTAATTAAAGACTGATGGCTATTAACGTGGTTAATTGGTACCATACACATTTACATTATTAATTCCAGAGAATGTACTGCAGATATTGCATTTAACATTATGGGATACCACATGGCAAAAACAATATGAAACTTTAAAAGTATAATACTTAATTCTAGGAAGTATCATGAAAATATATCCAGAGTCTAAAGTAAAACGATAAACGTATATCATCGTACCTCAAGTAAAAGAAACTATCGTATATAATAAAAATGTATTTTCATTTTGAATGTTACATTTAAAACTGCATATGAATTTGGGTTTGTTGAGTTTGAGATTTGCACATATAGAAATATAATAAGTGATTATTAATTATGCGGTGTAGTATTTGGTATACTGCAATAATAATATGCACCTCTATCTTTATAAAAGTTTAGTAATTTTTGTCCATTATTTTATTCGGATTAGTATTAATTTAAAAATAGAATTTACTATAGTATAATTTTGATGATATTTACATAATATACAAAGATTTGTATAAGTATATAAAATAAATGAGTTTCCTCTAACTAATTGAGATAATAAAAATTAATAAATTATATGTTTAAAAATTCTACCTGTGAGTAACTATTTGATATTAATATGTGGATATTAATAAACATGATAAGGTATCCCTTAGCTTAAGACGGTTATTCAACGACTTCAAATAACTAAAATTATTTCAGTAGTCAAACTTTTAATCCAGGTAGCATAAAAATATCATAAAATATAGGCTGACAAATAGACTTCGATCAAATTATTATTCATATAGAATGAGTTATCATTGAATTCGCATTTACAACATATACGTATTATAGTATTTAGTTTCACAGTGACGAGGTTCCTTTAAAGTTAAAACTGTACATCGGAACAATAACCTTTTTTTTTTAAAATGATAAATTTACATTTGCTACATGAATAAGAATAACCATATCATTAACTTTTTTTGTCTTTAATACTGTTTAACAAGATACAGTCACATCAATAAAAAAAAAAAAACCAAAGATTTCATGGTATCTATTAATAACTAAATATTTACTTACCCGAAACAGAACCAGCACAGAATTTATCTACAGTCAAAAAATATTGAAATAGACTAGTATACATATTTCTACACGAATTTCGGTCGATAAATGGTAATGAATATTCAAATAAAATGGAACTTATTGTTTTGTTTTTCTTAGATCCCCAGCCAATAATCTGTAATTTTTGTAAAAAATATCACAAATTAATAAATTACAATAAAGCAAAAACGAATTGCAAATCGCAATTTCTAAATAACTGAATATTATTTTTTCAAAAATTGCAAATTTCTCATGGCGTAATTGAGAAGAAACTAATGAAGGAGACAACTTTACATACATGTCGCTACTTTGTACAAATTCCACAAACTTACAAAAATTATATTTTATTTATAAATTATAATTCTAGAACATAAAATTTACCTTTCCTTCGGCTCCATTCGGTACATTGTATAAACCATTCCAATCGATACAGATAGGTGCAACAAAATTATTTAAAGAAATTATGTTTGATAACACGATAACAGCTATATCGTGATCATATAGACTATGAACTGAAGTAAAATCTTCATGTAAATAAATAGTTTCCACCTATAATTTTTTTTTTTTTTTATTATTATTATTATTTCACAACTATCATAAATGTATTCTTTAAAATGAATAACTTACATTCATTATTTGAGTAAATTCATAGTCAACTACTGTGAAATTTCTATCGTATTTTCCAATGGCGACTTTGTATGATTCATAGTTTATTGTTATGTTATTAGAATCTTCGTTCCAAAAACAATGTGCGGCTAAAAATGAAATTTTAGAAATATTCATTCCTTTTGAAATACATTGTACTCGTATAGTTTTTACCTGTAACAACTAAATTTGGAGCAATTATTGATCCTCCACATATTGCGAAATATTCTGTATTATTATCGTCTGATTCGTATATTGCAACATTCCATGGCGCTGTTCCAACCAGTGCTTTCTCACCATTGATGGTTGATACTGGATTGCCAGAAGTATTTACTCTACCGCATTCTAATATAATATTTGATTAGATTTAAGATAAGAATAAGTAAACCAATATATTTATAAGATAAAGCATAGTTAGAAGGTTATAAAATGTAGGTACATTAAACGATCATATCTAATCTAACACAATAGTTGTTTTTTCAATCATAACCATTTTAATACAAACAATAACAGGATACAGAAACACAAGTCTTCTCAGGTTTAGGTCCAGTTGGCCTAAAACTGCATACATTTTTTTTTATCTCTTGGAGCTAATCAAAGAGCATACGGAAGTTACGATCTAAGCTCGCTGGTTGGACAGACGGACGACCAACTATTTGTCATCATCACGATCTCTTAGTCGGTCATTACCTACGTACCGCAGAAACTTCGTGAACTAGCCACAATTCTGTCGAGTACGATATCATCAGCATTTTATACCCAGTTACCGTGTTACCGTTCTTACGATTTCACGCGTCACCAGACACGTGACCCGATACTCACCGATAGATCCCGGGGACTTGCCGGGACAAGATTGGCATAGGTACGTATGTTAGTTCCTACAACAGGTACATGTTAAGTTGATTGAGACTTGGCAGTAAACGGAAAGATCGATTTTGGCGGAAAACGGTAACGCTCGATTATAGTGGTGTGTATGTTATTGTTTGTAGTAGAAATTAGTACAACCCTTTACGATTACGTGTGGACATTAACGTTCTTCTTATTCAAACATAATGCTACACAGCTGTTGTTTATATAACAAATATTTGTAAAATAACTTTCTTTTATGAAATTTGTATCTTTATTCGAGTTTCATAAAAGTTACTGAGATTATTATTCTCAGTAATTAACTCAAAAGGAATTACAAACTAATTTATAATATTTTAATTGCAGGTCTATATATTTTATCCTGTTAAAATCAGTAAACTTGCAAATTCAAAAATTGAGCTGGCAAATTCTCGCAAATAAAAAGATATCGGTTGGTGTATATTTGAACCGTTTCAGATAACTTGGGTGGGCTACATGAATTTGGCTAACTTTTCAATTACTCAAAAACCGGTTACTTAAACACGTTTGCAAATTCTTGCAAATTACTTGCAAAATATTGTTGATACTTTAAAGTTAATCGTACTATATGGGTAGGCCAACTTCACGTAAACATAGTAATGCATTGCTGCTGTTGTATACTTACCAAGTATTTATAAAATGACTTCCTTTTATGAAATTAGTATCATTAATAGAGTTTCATAAACGTTACTGTGATTATTATTTTCAGTACCAAACTCTTAGAAGACGGTTATCGATACAGGCATCGCCCATTTGCGCCAAAAAAAAAATAAAAATAAAACTAATCAATTCGTTAATGTAAAATGTTTACACGGGTAAATTTGGTGCAAATAAGCTGTCGGAAAAAACATACATTTTTTTTTTTTTTTTTGGTGCAAATGGGTATTCCCTATTGATTTTAAGATTTTAATTTATAATTTTGCTTTTATTGTATTACATTTCTTTATACTTATTTATTTTAATTGACTGGTTTTATTTCAATAGTTTTAATTATTATTAGAAGAATGTTGGATTATATTTATTATTGCTATAGGTAATAGTTTATAAAATAAAATTAATTGAATAATACTATTAATAAAAACACATACTTTTTACATTAATTCATTAACACTTAATTTTCTAAAAGACAAACCTACGTAAATGTATATGTTGATCATCTTAAACCCACATTTTTATAATATAAACAAAAATATTTAATCATAGCAATATTTAAGAAAATAATATAGTAAAATAAAAATGCAGATTATAGACTAATATCTTCGTAAAAAAATAAAATAAAATCTCATAGAATATATCTTTAATATAATAATATTATCAGTCATAAAAATATTGTTGTGTACCTGTTGTTTTATTCATTCCATACTCGTATTGAGCACATAACTCTTCATTTTCGTCTGAACCATTTAAGCAATCTTTCTGACCGTCACAAACTGACGACCTCATGATACATGACCCATTTGAACAATGAAACGTGTTCTTGGTGGTTCTGTAATAATATTTTGTAAAATGGGTAACAAATAATTATTTAATATAATTTAAGTCCACAATTTTAAATTGCAATTTATTATATAGTAAACAATTGCATGCGGAATAACATATTATATTATAGAATCATTATTTTTTTAAGTCAATCAAATACTGAAAGAAACTGTAATTTACATATCTACAATTATCTACGTTTAATCTACATTTATTATACATTTGTAAAGTTCTTTTTCTTTAAAAATAACAAGATTCGTTTAAAAAACGATTGATTATAAATTATAATATTGTAATGTTAACTGAATTAGAGACTATTTAGTAAATAAATATTTGATTTAAAAATCAAAATTATCTTTTACACATTAAAAAGTAAAATAAAATAGGGCTTAGTTCTTTCTAACCACGAAGAGACTTCATTCAGTGATTTTTTCAAAAGTATTATATGAAATCATGATAGTATTTATAAATTTACGAGGTATTGTATTTTAATATTAAGTCTACCTAATGCAAAATGTAGCTTATAATTCAGTTATTGATTGACGAGGGTTATTAAGAATATGAAGCTATAGAACTCCAACCTCCCGTTTTTTTGCAATTTAGAATAAGATAATATTAATTTGTATACCTAATAGTTACTTACTTTAAGCAAGATGATTCAGCTTGTAGTTTTTCGAGTTTTTTGTCACACGAAATTCCAATTCCTAAAATATAAATTCTTAAACATTAAATGATTTATCAATTATTGGATCAATATAATTATACATAAATAAAATTAACATTTGTAAACCTATATACATACAAAATACTTCATAAGCAACTTATGCGAACTTAGCTATAATTCACTATTCAAAAAAAATATTACTAGACTAAAAACAGTTATTATGCACATAGAAATTAAGAGTCCTAGGTTCAGCTACAATATTAAGGGATTTGAAGAGTAAAAAAAAATTCTTTGGAAGTAATCGCTCGATGTGGCAACTGTATAGAACACCATTTTTGACGTGTATATTTTCTATTATTATTTGTAATTCGGATTTTTGTCATTTATTATCGCTTGCTAAGTGTATTGTATAATTTATTATTTACGTAAATCTAATCGAAACGATTGTAAGTACACGTTCGACTGCCAATCGCCGCACAAATAAACGGTAATACCTTAAATCATATCTACTTAATTAAAATAAACCTTACAGCCCACTGCTTAAATTTCACAAAGTAACATTGTTCCTTAGGCTTGAATGTAAGTAATCGGTGATATTCCTATATGGCAATGTAATTTGAAAATTCGCACTTATAAAAAATTACTTAATTTAAAACGTGTATAATATAAGTGTAAGCATGAAAATATTCAAATCAAATAACATACTGTTAATTCATTCGTGTTAAGGAAATTTGGTAAGGTTATCGAAAAGGAAAAATTAAAAATATCACTAGATCATGAAATGCAACTCAAAAAACAGAAAAATTGTGGCAAGTTGCGTCCTTTATTATAAATTAACTATTTTCCTAAAATCTATAATAATTGTGTGTTTTAATTTTTAAATTTTTAGTTGTTCATACCAAATTAGTTTATTTATTATTTTATCAATAAAGTTAAGGTCATAAAAGGAATTATTGTAAGTATAAAAAAAAAAAGATTAATATAATATGTATTTATCATACAGAGAAATATAATAAGAAATCTGGTTAGGTAAGAGACAGGTTTCATGAAATGCCATTAAGGCTAATTAAAAGCCCAGTTAACGAGATTTGTAAATTATCTTGAAAATGTCGACAAAAATAAAGAAATTAATCGAACCGAACTGAAGTGCCGTCGGAAAAATACCAAAGAGGTTTGGCAAGAACTTGAGCAGGTCTAAAATACAAAAGAATTGTAACTGAACTGAACGATGAAGAAAATGAAGAAGCAACGAACTATTGCATGGATTTCGAAGAAATATATTTTAAAGCAGTTTCAATGTTCGAAGATAATATGATGTTTGAAAAAAGTAAAGAAACAGAGAACGTGGCTGTTGCGGTACCAAAAGGAAAAACTTGTAGTAGTAATGGATTTTGTTGTAATAATTCTAATGCACAAACGATTACGAAAAAAATCATTTCATTTTATATTACCTAGATTAATAAACGATATAACTGCGTAGATGATTGATCCAAAACGTATAAGCGCACCAGATAACATAGCATTTAGTCATTACTCGACAACGCATATAATAAGCCACAAAAAATAGATGTGTTATTGGGCACCGAATTATTTTATGATTTAATATGTCCCGGACAAATCAGCGGCGTATTATTGTAGGGGGGGGGAAGAGTGTTGTGGGCTTCTCCCCAAAGTATGCAAAAAAATTCATTTCATTTATAAAAAAAGCAATTACAAAATTTACTAAGAAATTAAATGGTTTGTATATTTTAACTAATTAATATTAAAAAAAAAAAATTGCGGATTGACGAACAATTTTCAATCTAGTATCTACGCATATTGTGAACATATTTTTAGCTATAGATACACAGTATGGGTACTTTTATAAATGTTAAACTAACTGACATACCAAATACTAAATTTTATTATATAATTTGTGATTCTTTAATAGTTTAATTTGGTTTCTTAAACAATAAATTAATAAAGAGCATATTTTATACATATAAATAGTTGTTGGTCCTATACAAAATTCAAATACAAATATCGATCGAAATGCGTGTGCAAATATTACATTAATGAGCCAAGTCATAATAAATAATTTAGAAGATCAAATGTTTAAATTTTGACGTTTAGAAACGTTATCTAATGACACAAATAATAATTATACAATGGAAGAGAAAGCGTACCAGTCGTATTTTAATCAAACTGTTTGCTGAGGCTCAGGCGTTAAATTATTTATCATTTAAAACTGAATTAAAAGAAATAGGCAATTCTTATTCTACTGCTCAACAATGTTTTCTTTTTTTGGAAAAAACGATTTCAATTTAACTCAACATTAAAATTCGAATACATTAAATTTAAAGAAAAATATATTGAATTAAATCATATGGAAGTCGATTTAGATAACGAAAATAACAAAACAATTATAAGTGGCTATTTTCTAACGCATAGCCTCGTCATAAATACAATTAATATTACGACTAAATTGCGCGTGGTATTTGATGGATCATGTAAAACATTTATAGGACTTAGTTTAAATGATGCCAAAGGTTCCTATAATACATGAGGCATTAATTACTATTTACTATATTAGTTCGTTCTAAAAAACATATATTCGCAATATCTGCAGACGTATCTAAAATGTATTGTCAAATATGGGTGGATCCGCAACATCGTAATTTTAAAAAAGATGGTTGGCGCGAAAATTCAGCAGAAACATTACGTACTTAATGATGTAACATGGTAACATACAGGACGGTTCCAGCATCACTTTTGGCGACCGAATGTTTATCTAAATTAGCCTGAGAAGAATACCACACATTTTCCGATGCCTACAACTCCATTAAATCTGATTTTTACACGGACGATTATTTGGGCGGTTCTGACACTCATTTGAATAAATTGTATAATGCATTGGCCAAAGAAGGTATTAAGTGGCATTTTATTCCTCCACGGCCATCTCATTTTGGTGGGTTATGGGAGGCTTTTACGAAATCTATAAAAACACATCCACACCGGATGTTAGGTGAATTCTATTTGACATATGACGAATTGAATACCGTTTTAATTAAAATAAAGGCTATCATAAATTCTCGCTCACTCACTCTTCTACCTCAGATCCTTTGGACGCGGCCCCGTTAACGCCATCACATTTTCTTATCGTCGAACCTACCTATTCATTAGTTAAACTTGACTTGTCTTACGTACCTGATAATCGCTTAAAACGACAGCAACTTACGCATTGTCTATGAAAACGTTGAAACAAAAAATACTATATATCCAAATTCCAAACCCGGGAAAAATGGTTAACAAATAAAAGTCCATCTTTAAATATTGGTGCTATAGTGCTAATTAGGGAAGATAATATTTCTCCATTGGCATGGTCTCTGGGTAGTACGATACGTGTACATGCGGTAGCTGAAGGTGCCATTCGTGTAGTAACTTTTAAATAGGTTATTGTATTCTAGCTTTTACATTTATTTAATATTATGTATTAATGTAATACAATAATAATACGATTTTCTCTTTTTATTATTGTTAAATTTTTAGAATTGATATTACTTACCGAAAATAAAACATGAATATATCAACCAGGAATATGTCACCTTCATGGCTAATGAAAAGCTAAAAGTATTTTTAAATATTAACAGACAAATTTAATACATTAGTTATATCAAATCAACGTATTTAAACACTTAAAAATATTTTGCCGTAAGTTAAAAATAATATATTATAATATATATTAAAAACTGATAATATCTGTAGAGAATTAATTATTTTTTAATTCCTCAAGAAAGTAATATGTAAAAGACCTTTAAAACTAATGCGATTTCACGACAATGAACACATACTATTGGGTCTTTTAAGTTGCTATATGATGCTAAAATGTGTTTATGCTGATAGCACAATAAATTCACGTCTGATCTAACTTATCAGAATTCGTAAAACATTTTTATAAAAAGCGCTAGAACCTCAAGGTCTTGCAAAAATACCACAAAGAGTAGGAAATATAACCAGTCGAAAAAAACCGGCTTCGAATTTTCTACATATTTAATAATAAGTCTCAACTATAATGTCTTGTTGTACGGTATATAATTATTGACAACAACAAACGGGTAGAAACCGATTGCTAACAATTTAACTTTTTTTATTTTTTTTTATTTTAAAATTTGATAAACACAATCTGTACAACGTAGCACAATAAGTATATGTGATATTGTAATAGCAACATGAATATTTTGAATTAAAAAATCGCTCATTGGTAACTAATTCGCTGGGAATTAACGATATCTAGAGTCTAGAACTCCGTTGTTTTTTTTTTTTTTTATTATTATTTATAACAAGTCACGGCACCAGTTTCTTGTAATACGACGCTTGGGATTTCCCGGTATAGTTTGAGTGTAGAGGCTCTTTATCAATGGATTTTGGTGGGTTTGTAGACGACTATGAATTTAACTTTTTGAGAACACGACTGCATATATTTGCTGTATAACAATAGAAACCCGTAAAATAACACGATTGCCTATGCGACGTTGCTAAATTTATAAATATACAAAAAGTTCATCATGTATACATAATATATATTTTAATGATCTACAATTTAAAAGTAAATTTAAAAATATATAAGAAAAAATCTTAACCTATAATATAAAATAAAAACCATTGTAACAATAATTTATAATTATAATAATATTGAATAAATTGAATAAAATATATAATGCTATAAAAAAAAAAATTGTTGTTTGAATATTACTTATTTGTATATTTTATTTTGTAAATAGAGCCAATTTTAGATAATTACATTATAATATTTTTGAAAATGGAATCGACAAACAATAATATTTCTATCAGGAAACACCGTTTTTGCAATCTCGTGAACAGTATCTTCAAAATGTACATGCAATTGTTTATATTTAGCATTTCAGATGAATGTTTTGAGCTTAATTCAATTAAATACATCCATATTTGAAAATAAATATCTTTGCATTTATCAATTTAAAAAAAAATAAACCAAAGGTAAATAATAACCGTTTTTTTAAACTGTGTATCTTAAAAAGTTGCATAAAATACTTGGGCGCATATTCAAAAGTACCACCTACAAATACTTCTTCATACTGTAATAGTATGTTAATATTTTCTTCGTTGTGATACAAATGAATTGCAAATCGTCTGGCATGTGAAAACATTTTTCATTTTTGAATTTGATACCACCATTTTCTTCCATTTTTTTAAACTAAAGTATAGCACAGGTCAATGAATCTGAGAAAAGAGGATCATATTTTCTTCTTTTATCATACATCTTTTATATTCGAATGCGGTACTTCATAATCTGTCGCTATCAGCTCAGATCTTGTTTTTTTATGGTCTAATTGAAGTTGAGTCATCTGCTTTACGTTTAAAATTTTCTCGTAAAATTTGGTGTTCGATTTTCTCCATTGTATTTAAAATATGACTGTGCTCACCCAACATTTATAATACTTTTAAACGGAACAGTATGTTAAATTTAAATTTTTACTTGTATAATATGTATTCTATTACCTATGATCTATGGGGGTTCCTCGGGGATCTCATTCAGATTCTCTTCTTTTTAATATATATATTAATGATATTAGTGATATAAATTCTAATATACTGCTTTTTGCTGATGATGCTCAACTTTTCTGTATTGTAAAAACTCCACTTGAAAATAAATTACTTCAGTATGATCTTGATAACATAAGTAATTTGGTATGATAAAAAAAAAAAAATTGTACTTGAACGTTTCAAAATATAAAATTATTACTTTCACTAGAAAACGTGTGTCTTTATTAAACAAATACTTTTTAAACGATATTTAATAAGATCGAGTCATTGTCGTTAAAGCAAATCTTTAATGTGTGTTGTTTATATCTTGACTCTTTTCTTTCTTTCACTCAATGACCATTGACCATTTAATATCCATATTCAAAGTAGAGCATCCTCATTGCTAGGCTTTATAATGTGAGACTGTCACAATGTTGATAATCCTATGGTCCTCAAATTCCTTTACTGCGCCTTTGTTAAATCAGTTCTTATCTCTTGATTATAATTCTATAATTTGTCTCATCCTTATACATTTGATCATATTCATTTATTTGAGGCAATTTAAAATTGTTTTTTGAGACTTATAACCATTTAATGTAATATTCTACGTTTGGCTCAAACTTCATTTGAAATTTTATAATTATATTTAAACCTCGATAGTCTTAGAGAGAGAAGGGTAAAACATGAATTAGTTTTATATAGTATAAATTATTAAATGGCTTTATTTACTGTCCAGATCTATTGTCAAATTTATCTTTTATAGTTCTTGGCCATACGACTTGACAGACTGATACTTTTAATTTTTATGTGCGATTTCAGCATACTTAATATGGTAAAGCACCCCTTTAGTTAGATCCATGCAACATGTAAATAATTTTAATATCTATATTTATTTATCTTAATAAGTTTCGTAGTTTTTGGTTTACTTATAAAATTCACACTTTTTTTTTACATTAAAGTTACAGTGATCTATTAATTAATATAATACGTCACTTACCAATGAAATCAACTTTAATAAATGATGGAAAAATTGATTTTTTTTTCAAGAACAGAATTAGTATCATTATTGCTTTTTTTTCATGATTTATTTTACATTAAAATTATTCTAATAGAAAAAAATCATATTATAATTATGTTTCAAGCAAATACGATTTGTAATAACGCAAAATAAAAAAATTTAAATTAAATTAAAAAACTATTATTAAAATAAAATTAATAGGAAAGTAAAATAAGAATGTAAAAGCACGAGTACGGCAAACACAAGGGACGTAAGCCTTGAACGAAAGCCGACATCTGCGAGACTCTTCTCTATACTTATAACTCGGTTATAAGTGCCGGAGAATATAGTTAATTATCAAATATGAGTGTTGATTTATTGAAATTTACGTTATTACTTTTCTCCTGAGCGTCGAAAGACTCTCGAGATCATGATTCGAGAATATGATCATGTACACCGTGGTAATAAAATATTAATAATTAAATAATAGAATCTATTATAGATAATATGACGGACATGCACCTTATCTTATTCACAACTGTATTTGATTTGTACAGATAACTTAATAAAGTTAAAAGAAAAAAGTTATAGAGTATAGACATTCAAATCCAAATAAGTAAAATACTGATGTACTTATACGTATCTTCGTTAAAGTGAAAAGACCCATTTTTTGTTCGGAGCATCCAATGTGTTCAAATTGGCTAATGCTCATGCACTGGATTGTTTGGCGAGTGGATTATGCATTTGATTATTTGGTGGGTGCTCGTGCACTGGTGAGAGGAGACGACCTGGTCAAACCGGTCAGAGTCGCAAGCGGCCCCATCAAAGGTCTCCGCGCTTTCTAAAGGAATTGGCGTTTTTCTTGGCGATAGAGACCCTTATTGGGCCATTCCTTGTATTTGGCGGCACACGAAATAGATCACATGCGTTGCGTCACATTGTCACACCTACGTATGAGTTCCTACACGTGACCAAATAATGTAAATCGTTTCTTTCATCAGTGATTAATGATTAATGGTGTTTATTGGGTGCGAAAACTTGTACGTTATTTATTTGGCTGCATGTTACTTGCGTCCCATAAGATTGTTGATAATAATTTACAATATCACAACAGGTAAGTTGCGTCCCAAACGCTCGGACGCAACTTACCTATGCTATTTATTGACGGCTTATTTGTGTCCTAAACGATAATTTTGGTTAGGTAACAACAATTTTGTGATAAAATTCTAAATAATTATATCTAATATATATATTATATCTAAATCATCTAATATTGCTCCAGTTCAACCAAAAAAAATGCTGATGTGATGTGATCTTTTAAGACAGATGCCAAGCTTCATCGGAAGCATTAGTCATTTGTTTTTTAACTGTTCTAATAAAATTGCATAAAAGTGTGTTGTTTTAATGTGCCATTTTTGTGTAATTTATTTTGCATGTTAACGTATTTAAATGTTTGGCTACTACTGACTAATATTTATGATGTCACCAAAAAAATACGTTCAAAAAATTGATCTCCTGGAAAGAAAGCAGTTAGTAAGTGCATGGAAAATATAAAACTTAAAAAAACGTAAGTATGACATTTTAATTATTAATAATCCGTCTAATAACTTATTTCAGTACCTACCTTCGTTAGATACTTGCAAGTATAGAATAGTATAGAGATTTGGGATCAGGACATTATTGTCACTTGTGGACAAATATTTACATAAAAATAAAAACAATTAATACAAATATTGATTTTGATTATAATTAGAACAAATTAATTATTTATCATTACTATAATCTTATTGGACTTAGTTATGTTTGTTATATAATCCACGAATCCACTGAACATGACGCTTGATATCGGTAAAAGCTGCGATTGAATTATTTGAGTATGCTTCCTTAAGACTCAATACGCCGGTTAAATAATAAGACTTAGAGTGTAAAAATGCTAAGCCTGAACCGCTATCTCCCTTGCCCAAATTTCGTCCTGAAACTAAAGATATTTTATATGTAAGACATAAATGCACTATGCACTGATAAGAGGAGACGACTTTGTCAAGTCGGCAAGAGTCGCAGACCGCTCAATCGAAGGTCTCTGCGTTTTCCAAAAAAATTGGCTTTCTCCTAGGCAACAGAGACCCTCATTGGGTCATATCTTATCTTTGGCTGCACACAAAATAGATCACACGTGTTGCGCCAGTTGTCACAACTATGTGTGAGATCCTACGTGACCAAATAACATAGATCGTTCCTTTCATCAGTGATTAATTATGTTTATAAGGTTTTTTAACGATTATTTGCGTGCGACATCTTGACGTTATTTATTTTATTGAATAGTTAAATAAAAACAATATTAAAATTATGATTTGTGAGCATATCATTACAGTACGATCAATATTAGTGATTGAATTAATAAAAAATAACACAAATTACCAATGATATTTGTGTCAATACCTGTCTAAAATAGTATACTACACGGATTTCGTACAAAATCTATTTCTTAATCAGAAATCAATAGTTTGTTATTAATTTAATTTGATTACAATAATATTATTAAATATTATTGAAGAGTCTTTTGGCTTTTAGGAGTATAATAAATAGTTTTAGGTTTATTCGTTTTTATGAATTTATTAAACATTATATTATATTTAACTCTTTTAAGTTAAATACAGAACATTTGAAGTAAAAATTTAGCAAATTAAACTAAAGATTATTAGCTCTAATAATTTTAGCTTTATTAAACTACAATAATTCTTCATTGTACATATTTTGATAAAAACTTGTGTAGAGGATCATAATAATTAAATCAATATCTACAATATACTTTTTAATAATTCAAATACCAAGACTGAATAGACTAAAAACTTCAAAATTTCCTTATGGAATATAGAATATCATCTCTAATATCTCTAAGTCTACACATAATAAAATACAAATCCTTGAATAATCCGATTTTTAAAGTATTTCAGACTTTTTAAATATTGAACAATGTATGTGATTGAATTTAATTAAATACACTTACTTCTAATTCTGATTAAAAAATAGATGACTTTAAAACACGAAATTTTAATATAATAATTATGTAACATATTATTAACGTGACTAAAATAAAATTTAAAATTTATATTTTAAACTTTTTTAATAATTTTATTAAAGTTATGGGAAGACTCAAATTATAAACGTTAATTACCAATTGAATTAAATCGAAAAATATCTATGTTTCTAAAAATGACTACCTAAGTTAAAAATGTTTGAAGTAACTTAAGGTAGTTATTAGCTTTAATTATAGACTATTAAATAGATAAGTAGAAATATTATTTATGAAATGTGATAACTTAGACAATGTACAATGTTTAGTAAAACATCAAATTTAAAAAAGTATCTGAACACATAATATTTAATAAAAACTAATTTATGAGGTTACTCAAAGGCTGAAAAAAAATAAAAATAATTTCATGAAATTTATAATTAAATATTTTATTACCCGTTGCAAAACCAGCACAAAACTTATCATCAGTCACTAAAAATTGAAATCCATTGGTAAAAATTTTTCTACAAGAATTACGGTCTATATATGGTAATGAAGTTTCTAATAAAGTGGGACTTAATGTACCGTTTTCCGTAATTCCCCAGCCAACAATCTGTAAAAATAAAAAACAAATTTATAATATACGATAAGGGTATAATATTAATTTCTTTTTTGTAGGCGATGGTGTATTTAATTTGTTGAATTATATACAAAGCTTAAAGTTTATTTTTATTCTTGAGACCAATCTTTTATGAAATTAAAATAAGGTTAAAATGTCGATATAGTAAGTACTCTCGTCGAGGGAAATTGACAAGAAAACCTACACAGACGACATATTTCTTTGTATAAAATTAAAATTATTTAACAGTGTTTAAATTAAAAAAGAATTATAAAACCCAATTTCTAGACAACTGAATATTACTTTTTTAAAAATTGTAAACTTCTCAAAGCATAATTGTAAAGAAATAATGAAAAGGACAACTTTATATATAAATCTCCACTTGTAAAAATTTCACAGATTTACAAAATTATATTATAAATAAAACTCTAGAACACAACATTTACCTTTCCTTCAACTTCGTTCGGTACATTGTATATACCATTCCAATCGATACAAATAGGTGCAACAACATAACTAAAAGAAATTATTTTCGATAACACAATAACAGCTATATCATGAGCATAGTATCCTTCTTTCCCAAAATAATCTTCATTTATATAAATAAATGTCACCTACAATTTTTTTTAAATTTTTATTTAACAGCAATCATAAATTTATACTTTTAAATTAATAATGTACATTCATTATTTGAGTAAATTCGTAGTCAACTACTGTGAAATTTCTATCATATTTTCCAATAGCGACCTTATATGCTTCATTGTTTATTGTAATGTTATTAGATAATATTCCTTTGTACCAAAAACAATGTGCGGCTAAAAATATAAATAAAAAAATATCAATAATAACTAATTCCTCTTTAAATACATTATACAGTTTTTACCAGAAATGACTAAATTTGAAGAAATTATTGATCCTCCACATTTTAATTCATAGTTTTTATTCTCATTGTTTAATAGATATATTCCAACATTCCAAGGTGCTGTTCCAACAGATGCATTCTTGCCGTTAGCTATCAATAAATGGATATTAGTATATTCTCTACCACAATCTAAAACAAAATTTGAATATTTTATAGACTATAATAATTAATTAATTAAATAATTATGGGCATGATGAAATATATGTTGAAGGTTTAAAATGCATAACATATAACTCATCTAATCAAAAGTATCTACCCTCACAATTTATTTATTTTTTTTTAAACTTTAAAATTTATAGTAAAATTATAGTATTTGGATAATGTTGAAACTTAGTAAAATATATATTCATTAGATACAAAGTTTCCTGATAAAAATACATTTACATGGATGGCATTTATATAGTTGATTATTCCACATTCCATTAGGCTGACAAAGTAATTGAAATGTAGTATTTTCTAATCCAATTGATGCAATATATGATGGTTTGCAGGATGGTATGGCTATTGTATTGGGTATCGATGGATTTGAACAATTAGAAAACTTACCATTTAGAGTACATTCAATATCTAAACTATCTGATAATAAAGGTGGGCACATTTCTAGAAACATAACGAATTATTATAGTATTATAAAAGTAAATCAAACATTATAATTAAAATACTTAAAAGTGTAAATATTTCAGCTTATTGACTATATAATATAATATAACTTACTAATACATAATTTCTCAGAAGTCAATAGCCACTTTCCATTTGCCTGACAAACTCTAGAACTTTTGGAAGAAACCTTATGATATCCAACATCACAGTTTTCAATTACAGTACGATACAGAATAACTAATGTCCCATCAGCTAAAATTTTATCTGAGCCTTCATAAGAATATATTACTCCTTCAACGGTTGGTAGAACGCAATATTTTATATCCTAAAAAAATTTAAACAAATATTTTATATATTTTCAAAAAATATGTCATTTTTGAAGCAAAAGTAGCCATGAACAAAATTAAGTCAACAATAAATTTGTACGTGTATAGAAACAAACATACGAACATTGTTCAAATATTTGTTGTACAGTTTACGAATCCAATGAACATGATGCTGAATATCTATAAAAACTATAACTTCATCCTTTGTAGTTATATCTTTCACATTCACAATTCCAGTTAAATAATACCTGTTAAAGTGTTCAAAGGTTAAGCCGGCACCACTATTGCCCATACCAATTACTTGTCTTGAACCTAAAGATAATTTTTATATAAGTCACAAGTAAAAGAAAAAACTTATGGCTATTATTGTGGTTAATTGTTACAATGTTAATTTGCATTATTAATTTTAGAGAATGTACGACTTAATTTAAGCTTATGAGATACAAAATGCAAAGGCAATATTAAACTTTGAAAGTATAATAATTAATGATGCAAAGTATCATGCAAAAACAAAGATCGGGCGTAAAACGATAAACGTATACTATCGTACCTCAAGTAAAAGAAACTATCATTTATAATAAAAATGCATTTTTATTTTGAATTTTACATTAAAAATTGCATATGAGTTTGGGATTGTTATGTTTATGATCAGCTCATATGGAAATAAATCATGTGATTATTCATCATGCGATGAAATTGATACACAATAATAATAATAAGCATCTCTATCTTTTATTAAAGTTGATAATATTTGTTTATATTCTTATTCAGAAAAGTATTTTTGATTTTACTTTGAATTTAAATATTACATGTAAAAATTGAAATGAGTATCTATTTTTATTATATTTTATACAAATTATAATATTTGTTAACAGTTTTATTAAGATCTATAGAGTATCAATTTAATATATTATAATTTTGATGATATTTACATAATATATAAAGATTTGTGTAAGTATATAAAATAAATGAGATTCCATTAATTAATTGAGATAATAAAAATTAATAAATTATTTGTTTAAAAAAACTACCTGAGAGTAACTATTTAATATTAAGAAGTGGATATTAATAAATATGATAAGGTATTCCTTTACTTGTGATATTCATAAACCGAGTGATCACAACTTCAGATAATTTAAAATATTTCCGGTTTACGAACTTTTAATTTCAGGTAGTGTCTCCTATACCTATTAGTTATAATAATAATTAAATAAAAAACTTTAAGAGGCATATAAAAATATCATAGGCTAACAAAAAGTCTTCATCAAAAATATTTATCGTAGAGAATGATTTATAATTAAATGAAAATTTACAACAAACATTACAGTGCCTAGCTTTATGATGACAATGTTCCCTTAAAATCTATAGTACATCAGAGCAGAAAATTCCTTTTATTTTTTAAACGGCAAGTATATTTGGGGCACGAGTTAGAATAACCAAATTTGTTTAAGTTTTTTTTCGCTGTAATATTAATTATACACTTAATTAAAGAAATTTTATTAAAAAAAAAACTACATAGACTTTATGGTGTCTATTAACAACTAAATATTTTCTTACCCAATGCAAAACTTGCACAAAACTTATCAAAAGTTATAAAATGTTCAAATCCATTGGTATACATATATCTACAGGATTTACGGTCCATATATGATAATGAAGTTTCTAATAAAATGGGATTATATTTACGGTTTTCCATTAATTCCCAACCAACAATCTGTAAAAGTAAAAACCAAATTTATTATATACAATAAGAGTTTAATATAAATTTCTTTTTTGTAGGTATTCGTGTCTTTAATTTGTTATTCACATACAAAATAATTTAATATATTTAATATACAATGATTAAAGTTTTTTTTTTAATTTTTGAGAATGATCTTTTATGAAATCAAAATAAGATTATGTAATTTAATAATTCAATTACAAAATTATTCTTTTTAAGATTTGATATTAAAAATATCAACATTTTTAAACAATACAGTAGAGTATCTCATTGAATTTCCATTACATACAAATTAACAATATTTAATTATTGTAAGATATAGGTTATCTATAATTAAATCACAATATAAAATTTAATTAATGCATGTAATTATGCCAACATAAGTACTCTCGTCAAAAGAAATTGACTTACAAACCTGCACAAACGAGATAATTTTTGTAAAAAATATTACAAATTTTAAATTACAATAAAGCAAAAACGAATTGCAAAGCGCAATTTATAAATAAAATAAGTTTTTCAAAAATTGTAAGTTTCTTATGGCGTAATTTTAAAGGAATTAATGAAGAAGACAATACATATTATATCTTGCCACTTTGTACAAATTCCACAGATTTATGAAAATTACATTTTATTTATAAATTATAACTTAAGAACACAAAATTTACCTTTCCTTCAACTTCATTCGGTACATTATATTTACCGTTCCAATCGATACAAATAGGTGCAACAAAATTACTAAAAGAAATTATGTTTGATAACACAATAACAGCTATATCATGAGTATAGAAACCGGCAGCTCCAGTATAATCTTCATTTAAATAAATAGTTTCTACCTATACATTTTTTTTTTTTATTACTATTTCACAACTATTATAGATTTATACTTTTAAATTAATAATAGTTTACATTCATTATTTGAGTAAATTCATTGTCAACTACTGTTAAATTTATATCATATTTTCCAATGGCAACTTTATATGATTCATCGTATATTGTTATTTTCTTAGATAATATTCCTTTGTACCAAAAACATTGAGCGGCTAAAAATGTTATTTAAAAAATATTTATTCCTTTTTAAATATATTATACAGTTTTTACCAGAAATGATTAAATTTGGAGCAATTATTGATCCTCCACATATTAGATCATAATTTCTATTCTTTTTGTTTAATCGATATATTCCAACATTCCAAGGTGCTGTTCCCACAAGTGCTTTCTCATCATTAGCAATCATGGTTTGGCTATAAACATATACTTTTCCACAATCTAAAACAATATTTAAATAAATAACTGTATGATAAAATATTGATGGTTTAAAAATGTACATCATTTGACTTATCTGATCAATAGTACATACTTTTACATTTTTTTTGTTTTTCTTAAACTTTAAAATTTATAGTAAAATAATAGAATTTGGATAATGTTATAGTCTAGTAAATTATTCATATTTTAGCTAATATGTTTTGTGATAAAAATACAATTACATGGATTGCATTTATACAGCCGATTATTCCACCTTCCATTAAATTGACAAAATAATTCAAATGGAGTATTTTCTAGTCCAATTGGTTCAAAATATGTTGGTTTGCAGGATGGTATGGCTATTGTATTGGGTATCGATGGATTTGAACATTTAGAAAACTTACCATTTAGAGTACATTCAATATCTAAACTATCTGATAATAGAGGCGGGCACATTTCTAAAAACATAACAAATTATTAGTAGGTATTATGAATTATTTTAAATTATCAAACAAAATCAAACGTTGGATTTTTAGTATTCAAAAATATAATTATCAGCATATTAATTTAAATATATATCTTACTAATGGATTTACGTCAATTCATCGTACGTCAAATGATGGCGGTCAATTCATCGCATGTTAGTTTATCGTGGTCGCAATTAATCGCACGTCAATTTATCGCTAAATTTTATCAAATAAAAATAATTATTAATCATAATTATTTAAATAATCACAAAAAATCAAAAAAAAAAAAAAAAACATATATCACAATAAATATTGTTTGTCGTTTACATTATATACATTATTAACAAAATTTACAATGACAATTGAAAATTATAAGCAACACAATGATATACTGAACATCGTGAATTGTATACAATTGATGATATAATCATGGAACACTAAAAAATGTAACACCACAAAACCAACTGTCGCATCGTGATACAAAACTCAAGAAACATGTTGTTGAAAAAATTAAAATTTGTTTAGTATTAATATCACTATTATATTGTAAAAAGAGTAAAAAGATATTTCCATTTATGGTTTTTGTAATTTCGTCAAATATGATAACATTTAAGAAGGTTGGGTCGTTGGGCAACTATAACTTTTGCTTACGTAAACGTTGAATAATACGTTTTAGTCTATTTATACTAATTATCTAAGTGCCCAGACGATTCAGAAGGGATATAACTATAAGTGCTGAACCAATTACCGATTGTGTACTCATATCACTGTTGTTATTGGCTACAACTTTTAGATTATTAAGGGGTTTTTTTTTTTTTTTTTTTACCTCAACGTCTGATAAACTCGAGACGTGATTATTTTCAGTTTTTTAATATTTCTCTTTAAGTGAAGCCATCCGTGACATTTATTTTTATTATATTGATTACATTTCTATTAAGGTTTTGTATCATTTTCTTTTTCTTTTAAAAAATATATAGACATCGTAGCAAAACATACCTCTACCTTTCTCAGTTTTTAGCATTTGAAAAGCTATAATTGAATAATTGTATTAACAAACAAACAATGATAAATGAGCGTATTCGATAAATACATGACGGTTAAAATGACGATTTCACGATTGTCATTAGACTGAAGCTAGTATTGATAGAGTTCAGAAATTATAAAATACGATAACACGCGATATAAATTATTGGCGAAAGATTAACTTATAATGCGATAAATTGACGTCGTGATAAAATGACCGCGGTGAATTGACGCATGATGCATTTAGCTGCGATGAATTGACGTAGCACCCTTACTAATTCATAATTTCTCGGAAGTCGAGAACCATTTTCCGTGTCTCAGACAAACTCTATAACTCTTGGAGTAAATCTTATGATATCCAACATCACAGTTCTCAATTACAGTACGATACCGAAGAACTAATTCCCAATCATCTAATTTTTCATTTGAATTTTCATAAGTATATAATACTCCTTCAACAGTTGGTAAAACGCAAACTTGTATAGCCTATAAAATATTTGAATGTTTAAAAATGTAATTAAATATTTTATATATTAAAAAAAAAAAAAAAAAAAAAAAAAAAATGTTATTTTTGAAGCAAAAATATTCATAAACAAAATCAAGTCGGCATAACAATAATATACGTAAATAAAAACAAATATACGAACATTATTCAAATATTTGTTGTACAGTTTAAGAATCCATTTAACATTATGCTGAATGTCTATAAAAATTTTAACTGAATCATTTGTATTTGGATTCTTCATACTCAGTATTCCAGTTAAATAATATAATTTAGAGTGTACAAAGGCTAAGCCGGCACCGATATTCTGCACACCCCTTTCAACTCTGGAATCTAAAGATAATTTTTATAAAAGACATAAGTGAAAAAAATTGCTCATGACTATTATTATAGTTAATTTGTACAATTTAAATTTACATTATTAATTCCAGAGATTGTACAAATACTACATTATAAGATTATGTGATACCACATAACAGTGGCTTTATGAAACTTTGAAAGTATAATAATTTTTTAAGTTTTCTTGACGTACATCATCTAAACTTAGGTATATAAAAATAAATTTTTGAAAATTTGTTAATCAGAGCAGTAAACTACTTTTTTTTTTTTTAATGGCAAGTTCACATTTGGCATACAAATTAGTATAACCAAATTTTTAAATTTTTTTTGTCTTTAATATTAATTATACAATATAAATTAGCTTAAATAATAATAATAATAATAATAATAATAAAAACATAGATTTCGTGGTATCTATTAACAATTAAATATTTTCTTACCCAATGCAGAACCAGCACAAAACTTATCATTAGTCAAGTAATATTGATATCCTTCGGTAAACATATTTTCACAAGAAATGCGGTCGATATAATATGGTAATGAACTTTCTAATAAAATGGGACCTAATGTATCGTTTTCCGTATTTCCCCAGCCAACAATCTGTAAAAGTTTAAATAGATTTATAATATACAATAAGAGTTTATTATTAATTTATTTTTGTAGGTGGCGGTGTCTTTAATTAGTTAAATTACATATTATAATGCTTAAAATTTTTTTTAATTTTTGAGATTTGTCATTTATGAAATCAAAATAAGATAATGTAATATAATAATTTAATTACAAGATAATTATTTTTAAGTTTTGTTTTTCAAAATATCAACATTTATAAATAATACAGTAGAGCAGCGTTTCTCCAAGTGTGTGTCGTCAGTCAATTTTTGATGGGCCACGAACAATTTTTTGAATTATACAGATTCCAAGATATGTATGTTAAATTAATATTAAATATGTTATTGTTATATTGTTATTAAATATACTTATATTAGTATAGTAATGTAGTACCAAAAATTACGTGGGTATTAAATAATGATTTGTCGTATATTTATTTATTTCGACGGGTATTAATATGCAGAATTTCGCGTTAAAATACAATTAAGTGGCAGCTCGACAAAGACGACTATCAGTCGTTGTTGATTCAATATTAGAACTAAGTTATATTATCGCCAGTTAGTTGTTATTTAATTAACCGTTTTGTTAAAAAAAATTAAAATTATAATATATTATTATTATATTGTTTTTTAATTATTAAAATTTTTTTTTATTTAAATACTTTTTGAAAAGTGAAACCATGTGGGTCGCGAAAGATTTTTCGGGAAAAATTTAGGTCACGGAACTAAAAAGATTGAGAACCACTGCAGTAGAGTATTTCACGGTATTTCCGTTTCATACGAATTCACAATAGTCAATTATGGTAGGAATAAAAATTATCTAAAATCAAATTACAAATTTAAAATTCAATTGATTTATGTAAGTACGAGTATGTCAACACAAGTACTTTCGTCGAAAGAAATTGACTTACAAACCTACACAAACGAGATATTTTTTGTATCAAATATTAACACCATTTAACATTGTTTAAATTACAATAAAATAAAAATATAATTGTAAAGCCCAATTTCATAGCGTAATTGTGAAGAAATGTATGAGCAAAATAACTTTATATTATAACGTATATATTGCCTGTTTGTATAAATATCACAGATTTAAAAATTATATTTTATTTATAAATTATAATTCTTGAACACAAAATTTACCTTTCCCTCAGCTCCATTCGGTACATTGTATGAACCATTCCAATCGATACAGATGGGTGCAACAAAATTATTAAAAGTAATTATTTTTGATAGCACAATAACAGCTATATCATGAGTATAGAAACCGTGAACTCCAGTATAATCTTCATTTAAATAAATAGTTTCCACCTATAATTTTTTTTATTATTATTATTATTATTTCACAACTATATCATAAATGTATACTTTCAAATTAATAACTTACATTTATTATTTGTGTAAAATTATTATCAACTACTGTAAAATTGCTATCATATTTTCCAATGGCCACTTTATATGTTTCATTGTATATTGTTATTATATTAGATGACATTTCTTCGTACCAAAAACAATGAGCGGCTATAAACGCAATTTAAACATTTTTTATTCCTTTTTAAATGCATTATACTGTTATTTTTTTTACCAGAAACAACTAAATTTGGAGCAATTATTGATCCTCCACAAATTAATTCATAATTTGTACTCTCTTCATTTAATACATATATTCCAACATTCCATGGCGCTGTTCCAATTAGTGTTTTTTTACCATCGATGGACGATACTGGTTGGTCAGTGATATGTATTCTACCGCATTCTAATATAATTTTTGATTATATTTTAGATAAGAGTAAGTAAAGTAAGTATCTATAATATAAATTATAAAGCACAATTTTGAAGATTATAAAATGTATATTAAACGATTATACACTTAACCTAACTTAATTTTTTTTTTCAATTGCAACTATTTTAATACAAACAATACCAGTATATAGATACTCAAGTAGACGATCGACCGTATGTTATCTTTGGACCACGATGTCTTAGTCGATCGTTAACTACCTACGTACCGCAAAAACCTCGTGAACTAGCTGAAATTCCGTCAAGTTGACTTACACGCGTAAATTTTACGTTGCTGTCATCAAGTACCTATTTATTCATATTCATTATTCAATACCACCTACATGCAAGTATTTCTCTTATCCATAACCCAGGGGTTTTATCTATTTCGGACGTCCCGGGACGCCGATCCACGCTAAAAAAGAATGACAGTCATATCTAGTGACAGTTTCTTAGTTATACCTCTGCTAAATAGCGTTAAAGACAATCATATTTTTATTAATTAGTAAAATAAATATAAATCTAACATTAATGTATATTTGATAAATATCCTATTGCATGGACTCCGTGCATTCGTATAGTTCGCGGTCAATTAGATAGAGAAGGAATTAAAGTGAAAGTACTAATTGATTGTGGGATATAGTTTATTAAATAGTCAAACTATATTATAATTTAGTGATGGATACATTTGAATAGATATAAAAAAAACGATAATAAATTGACTTAAATTATAAAAATATAAATCTTTTTAAGTTTAATGGTATTTAAAATATTTTGTGTTAAATTTAACGATAAAAATAAAATTGAAATTGTTAACACCGATGTAGTTGAACACAACATTTAGAATTAATAAAAATAAAAAAAAAAAATTAAAATTAAAACCAATTATGATCATCAATATTCGAATAAGATTTTTGATTTTACATGGTTGTTTTAGCGATGTGGTCTGTTGTTATTACTTGTAGTAGAAATGAGCCCAACTCTTTACGATTATGTATAGAACTCTTTTACTATTATGATTTTATGTATTCTATCTATCCAAACATAATGCATAATCGTAGTTGTTGTTTATATATTAAAAATTTGTAAAATAACTTTCTTTCGTGAAATTATTCTTTATCTTAAATAAAGTTTCATAAACGTAACTGAGATTATTATTTTCAGTAGGTACCCAACTCTTAGGAAACAGGTTATCGATACCAAGGTTTTAATTTATAATTTTTACTTTTATTGTATTACACTTCTATATACCTACTTGTTTATTTTAATTGTCTATACTATTGATTTTATTTCAATAGTTTTAATTATTAGAAGAAGAATATTGGATTATATTTAATATTGTTATAATAGTTTATAAAATAAAATTAATTGAATAATGCAGTTAATATAAACACACACTTTTTTACATTAATTTATTAACACTTAATTTTCTAAAAGACAAACCTACGTAATTGTATATGTTGATCATCTTAAATCCAAATTTTTATGATACAAACAAAAATATTTAATCGTAGTAATATTTAAGAAAATAATATAGTAAAATAAAAATACAGACTATAGACTACTATATTCGTAAAAAAAAATAAAATAAAATCTCATAAAATACATCTTTAATATATAATACTAACAGTCATAAAAATATTGTTGTGTACCTGACGTTTTATTTATTTCATACTCATATTGACCACATAACTCTTCGTTTTCGTCTGAACCATCTGAGCAATCTCTTTGACCGTCACAAACTGACGACCATAAGATACACAGTCCATTTGAACAACAAAACGTATTCTCAGTAGTTCTGTAATAATATTTTATAAAATTTGCAACAAATAATTGTTTAATATAATTTAAGTCTACAATTATTTTAAACTGTGAATGGAACAAAAATTATATTAACAAATCATTTTTTTTTTTTTAAGCCAATCAAATTCTAAAAGAATCTGCAATTTAAATATCAACAGCAGTAGCTAATTAGATATTTCCAATGGAATATAAATAATATGATTTAATTAACATGCTTAACAATTAACTATTAGGTAAATTTAGTTTTAAGAAATAATGGTCATTATAAGTCATCAGTTATCTGTAAGGAATATTGTGATTCATATAGAATCTACATTTATTATATATTTTTAAAATTATTTTTCTTTAAAAATAGTAAAATTTGTTTAAAAAACGATTGATTACAATATTATAATGTTAACTGGATTAGAGATTATTTAGTAAACAAATATTTGACTTAATAATCAAAATTATTTTTTACACACGAAAAAGTAAAATAAAATAAAGCTTAGTTCTTCCTAACTTTAAAGAGACTTCATCCAGTGATTTTTTCATAAGTATTTTATGAAATCCTTGTGGTATTTAGAAATTCATGAGGTATTGTATTAAATATTAAGTCTACCTAATGCATAAATATAGCTCATAATTCTGTTATTGATTGATGAGGATTATTAATAATATGAAGCTATAGGATTCTAACCTCTAGTTTTTTTGCAATTTAGAACAAAATAATGTTTATCAGTCATTAGTACAAAAGTTACCTACTTTAAGCCAGACAATTCAGCTTGTCGTTTTTCTAGTTTTTTGTCACACATAGTTTCTGTTCCTGAAATATAAATTTATTCTTAAACATTAAATAGTTAAGCAACTATTAGATTAATACTATTATACATAAATAAAATCAACATTTGTTGTTTAAAATTATATAAAATAATACCATATATTGTATATTTATGTGTGATACAAGATAAGTGCCGTTGTGTTATTTCAGTTATAAATAGCGTGTAGTGTGCTAAAATGTTGAATGGCCATTATGACTTTAATAAAAAGTTTGCGAAATTCACTTTTCTTAAAAATTGCTTTTCATTTACATTATTATTTATGTACAATAATGCATTATATGCATAGTCATAGACACAAATTTAGATACGATACTAAAATATACAATATTAATTCAAGCATAAAATGTAATCGAAAAGAGTAAAATATTAAATGGTATTGAAGTATTTATTAATTCTAATTGATAGATGGTTGTTTTATTTTTAGAATTTTTAGTTTAAAAATTAATATTAATTAGTAAATAAATAGTGCCATCTTAAGTAAGACATCGCCTCAATTACGGAAACTCATAGCAAACCAAATTCCAAATTCTGTTTTTCAAGTTTGAAGTATACAGAGCAGACCCTCTCAATGAATCTGCTCATATAGATTCTGTTATTATCATATCCTCCAAAATCCACTACTTGCCAACCCTACTTCTTCAAATAAAGTTAAATTTTTAATTAAAAAACTAAAATTTAAGTACGTTACGCCAGAACCTCTTTTTAAAAATATGGAAATTTTCATTATTCTATCATTAAGTACGTCATTTGTACGAATTTTTATGACCAAAGGGGCTAAATTATATCAAAAACCCTTCGGGAGGTTGGTGTGGATCACACCAGTTCACCTCCTGCTTGAGAAATATAAAATTTTTTTTTCAAATTTTTTGCACTATTTGTACAAGCAATATGAAAATTTGTACGCTATTGTTTTTGTGAGGATCACAATAAACCTTTCGTTAAAAGGGAGGGGTGATATAAAAAAAAACTAAAAACTCAACAAAGAAGCTAAAGCTATATAAATCATAAAATCAAATATATATGATATAATAATATGTTTAATTTATTAACCAATGACAAACTAACTTAGGTGCAGTTAAGGTACTAATAAGGAAAAAATGTGGCCATAAATGAAAAATATATGCCAAAGAGTGTATATATTTTCTAAAGAGCTTATATATTTTCCAAAATGTAGATATATTTCTCAAAGAGTTTATACATTTTCTAAAGAGCTTATATATTTCCTAAAAAGTATATATATCCCAAAGATTTATAATCTCAAAGAGTGTATATGTTACGGTGAAAGAAAAAAATTGGTGAATGAAATCTTTCTCTGGTATATTTACCAAAATGATTTTATTATGTTAGTAAATGATGTAAAAACCAAGTTTTAAACTCAAATGTACATCTTTCACCGGCCATTAACGTTATTTACCAAAACCTCAAATATTATAGGTACTGATTGTTTTACTTTAGGTACTATTTATAAAAATGGTTCATTGTTTTTGGGAAATTCATTTTTTTATTTTAGGTATATCTTTATTTAACTTAAAATATCTTGTCACCTCTCTTATTACTGTTGATAATTTTGTCGATTGCTGCTTTTAATTTATTCTAGTTCTCCATACCGCTAGAGCTAGGATTTTGATGACTTTTGCATTTTTTTTTCTTAAGTGCTATACCTATCTAACCAAAACTAAATCTGTTTTGGTTTTTATAAATATTACGTTAATTTTATGTGATTTTTTAAGCTTTTTTAAATATGCTTTGTATAGTTAATCCCAATTACCTACTACAGTCCATTGATATTGAAAAAGTAATATAATCAATTGTCTACTCAAATTTGAATATATTTGTTTAATTTACTTCTTAGATCAAATTTTTACCTACTTTGTATGATATGAAAAATAAATAAATAATAATTAATAATAATTTTTGCATTTTTGTGTATTTTTTAGGTCATTAAAATCCTAGCTTTATGAATTATGACCATATCTAATTAAACAGAACTACAACGGTATAATGTAGGTAATTTAACTTTTATTATATTTAGTTTACGAGTAACACATATTATTACAAATAATTATACAACTCGCTAGAATATGGGTGTAGATACTAGATACTAACTAACTAACTACCTAATAGATTATCTCAAATAATTACTTGGTATATCGACGTTATTGCTATAGTATATGGGATAAAGTAATATGTAATATTAACAATATTATAATTCACTATTCAGTAAAAATATTAGTAAGTCAATAACAATTATAATGCATATAGAAATTTAAATTTTAAAGTTCTAGCCTAAGACTCCTAGATTCATTTACAATAATAAAATTGGGAATTTGAGGAGTCAAAGAGGATTCTTTAAAGATCATCGATTGATATGGCTACTGCATAATAGAACATCAGTATGTCAATTAAATTTTGTTTTAAACTGTAAATGTTACGTTTATTCGTGTACGTTGAAAAACGATAGCTCAATGTAATATTATGACAGATAGTTATTTTCAAAACGATACTGGTACATCTAAGTATTTATAACTTTTCACTATCTATAGATAGGTTATTGTATACTAGCTTTTACTTTTATTTAATATTATATATTAATGTAATATCATAATAAATTTAATAATACGATTTTCTTTTTTTATTATTGTTATATTTTTAACATAGATATTACTTACCGAAAATTAAACATGAATATATCAACCAGGAATATGTCTCCTTCATGACTAATAAAGAGCTAAAATTTAGGTATTTTTAAATATTAACAGACAGTTTTAATACATTAGCTATCGACGTTTTTAAATACTAAATAATATTTTAAGTTAAAAAAATATATGATATGATAAACACTGACAATATCTGCAGACAATAAATTATTTTTTAATTCCTCAAGAAAGTAATACGTAAAAGAACTTAAAAATAATACAATTTCACAACAATGAACGCATATTATTGGGCCTTTTAAATTACTATATGATGCTAAAACGTGTTGATGCTGACAGCGCAATAAATTCACGACTAATCCAGTAATCTATAACCTATCTGAACTCGTAAAATATATTTTATAATGAGCGCTAGCATCTCAAGGTCTTGCAATTTTCAAATATTGTATCACGAATAATACGAAATATAACCAGTTGAATAAACCGGCTTCAACTTATCTACATATTTAATAATAAGTCTTGACTATAATGTCTTGTTGTACAGTATATGATTATCAATAACAATAACTACTGAAGTATGTAACAGCGAGGATGTGGCCAATTTCCAAACCCCAAACTAGAAGAATAGAAACGGAGACGCCACACGGCACACGGCACACATAAGGAAGCTCTCACCGTTGCATGCTCAAATGTACCGGAACCAGCCTCACATTTTTGTATAATATTTAGAACTAATTTATATTAATTAAATAAACCAAGTATTTTAAATTAAAATTGACTTAAACAATCATTTAAAAGTTAAAACCCACAACTTTTGAGTAACAGAGAGTAGGCATACTACTACCAACTATAAAATATATTCTTATAATTTACTAAAAGACAAACAACGTATATATGTGGTAGGTAACTGATAACGAATATTTGATTAAGTGAGCAATGGGTAAATTAGTTTTAAATTGTCTGAATAAGTCCTTCTATTACTGCAGCTAATGCATTTTTAAGCTAAATGGAATTTATACTTATACATTACAAGTACACTTTGATTATTCTGATTATATTGGTGCCTGGTACATAAATATAATTAACATAACTTCAGTAAAATAAAAAGGTTTGTAAGTTATTTAATTACATCTTGATACTTTAATTTTTATAACTTATTAATCATAATACAATATTCATATTTCATAAAATAAACAATAAAAAAAGGAATGAAAGTATAGGTAACCTCTCTAAAAACCTAACATACGGGTTTCAACTCAGATTCTATGGGTGGAAGTGCCAGCATTTCCATTAGACAATTAAATTGTAAATGACCTCAAAACTATTAAGGTACAAAATGTTTGATGTACAAAGAAGAACAAAGAAAGTAAAAACGATTGATGTAGGTTTAAAAAGGAACGTATGATAGTTCTCAATCCTCATACACAAAAAAAACCCTGTAAAACTGAGACACGCAAAATAAAAACAGTATAACAAGCGATAACTACCATAGGCGTGCGCACGAATAGGGCTGATTGGGCTTTAGCTCCACCTAAGCTTTTTTTTTTTAAACGTGAATGGGTAAGTAAGTACATGGTACCTAAGAAAATAATAAGGCGTTATTGTTGTAGAAAATTGATAACAAAATAAATCAAATTCATAGATATTAACACGATTAAAGATAAACTTGTCACCCATAGGCATAACTTTTTTCTTGTGTGATCATAATAGGGGGGGGGGGTTAGATTGAATTAAGTCATACTTGACTCAGAAGTCTGAGCACGCCTATGATCACTACCTATATCAACACATACGGAAATAATGCAGTTTATGAGATTTTCAAGTAACAAAAATTGGCAAAGTACGTCAATATCACAATTCACGTACCGGGAAACCTCCGGCATATATATCACCTCGTTTGATCAAGTCACTTCATCTTCATATTATTTTTGTAAAAAAGTTTTTTAAACTTCAGTAGAAAACCGATGAATTTATTGAAAATAAATACTATTCATTGTTGAACTATCTAGAGTTTTAAAAGCGTCTTATTTCTATGACTAAGAATAACTATTAAGATTATCATACTTAAATAAAATTGAACTATAGAACACTCAACTATACTTACGAAAGTAAATTAGTATTAGTTGTTATAACTATTATAATATAACAAGAAATAACTGAATTCATCAATATAATAAATAATTAATAATTATAATAACTAAGGCTCGGAAGTTGTAGCCAATGTGTGACGGCTATCCCTAAACAAAAGTCTGCAGGTCACGTAGTTTATGATAATGATTCGTTGGCTGATGATGTGTGGTTTATGATATCGGTTCAAGTGATAAAATTTAATATTTTAACAAAAAATATAATTTTTAGATAATTGAAACTTATTACCACTACGTAAATTATTATTAGCACAATAAAATTTCAAAATATTTAGATTGATTTTAAGTTATTTTTACGACAAACATTTATTCACACTGATCTACGGTTCATCGGTAATAAATTATATGTTGATAACATTATATATTTAAGTAAGTCCATAAAATATTATAATGCTATATTAAATATTAATAATAAAGTTAATAAAATATATAAATTATATACACGATCATAATAGTATAACCTATATAACTGCAGCAAAAATATTAAAGAATTTTGGGTTACTCGTTTTTAATATAATTTATCAATTACAATTTACAGACTGCGTGCACTGCAGTCTTCAATTTACCAAATCTTTACGATATGTAAGGGTACATTACGTTGATACTTAATGGTGGGAACATTTTGCAATCTCAAAAGCCAACAATTTATGTTCAAATATTTATATATATATATAATAGATAGATATAGGTTTAAGTGTATAGGTATAATAATAATCATATGTTATGTATATATATTTTTATATAATATTATATACGTTGTAAGTATGTAACAATAGTACAAATTATCACACGCAAACACACCGTAATCATTTTGGTTATGCCGTTTTTGCCGCCGTGTCCTTCCGCCACGCAATAAAAATACTACTCGGGTAAAAGAATATAATATGTCTTCCTATTTCTATTTTTTATTGGATGTTCTTCAACCCTATACATGCAGTACAATTATATGACCGTTATTATTTCATCCGATGGGCTTGGAAAAAAAATAAAATAAAAACAGGGTAAAATTATGTATAAGGGACTAATCCGTGTCCGAATTGTCGCCGCCGCCACCGTATTTTATTACGGCAATTATTATACATTTTTTTTTTTTAAACATCTAAAGGTAATTGTACCCGAGTTAAGTACATAACATGCGCAATGCAAAGAGGTCGGGAGACGATCTCGTTAACCCTTTGCCACCGGTTTTTATAACCTATATATATCCGTGTACATGTATATGAACCGCTGGCGCTGTGGCAGTGACACCGCTGCTATATATCATATATATTATAACTATATAAAGTCTTCAGTACGTATTATATATATACGAATGTACCTCCGTATAGATACATGTCATTTATTATATAATAAAGACTGCGCAGATCCTCGAAATGATCAGGTGTGCGTTTCTCTCGCGTATAGGCATCTCCACTCAACATATAATATACTTCTATATGTCTACCCCGTTTATATAGCCCGGAGCGGAGCAGTTGCTTAGCCCGTTCATCCCTTATTATCTTTATTGTTGTTATGCGCGCTCACACCCAATTAAAATACCACCGATATTATATACTATATTTATATATTATACTGTGTTTACAATTGTGCAGTCGTTGGACGAATTAAATGAATGGTTTGCCACCGAAATAGGGTTGTCAGTACTCGGTGCAATTATATAATACACGTATAGTTGCAATTAATTGTCGATATACCTCTACCTATAATGTGTATAATATATCTGATAGAAATTATGCGAGCTCACATATTATTTTATGTGTTAAATAATAAATAGTATAGATGTTATACAGATTTGAGATATATCTATAACCTTTCTTTTTTTTTATCGATAAATAACAATTTATCTTTAGATTGAAATTTAAAAAATATACTGTAAAAATACGTGTCAAGCCGCAGCTGAAAGTATTACAAAAACCGTATTTTCAGGTCAAATAAGATTTCAACTGCATATGTAATTTAAAATCTAATAATCTGGAATCTCGGATTAAACTATTAAATAATATCTAATGTCTTACGGTAATTTCGAAATACTTTTTCTTAAATATATTATCAGTCATAACCCATAGATATACCTACATAATAAGTATCCATCCTATGAATACAAGTTTTTTAGTCGATGAACTTTCAAAAATCATGATAAAAATTCCACCAAAATTTATCCATCCTTACTATAACTCTTTTATTCTTAAATGATGACAGAATCCTTAGGTTCTTGAGCCTAACCTTTTGAGGTATCTGCCACGTTTGAAACAATTATAGATAAAAAATATTATTTGCACATAAGTATGAAAAATTATACACAATAATATAGAAATAATTAATTATTAAAATAAATATATAGGTACTCGAATATATATCTTTTGTAGAAATTAAATCGTCTATGTCTATATTACAATTAAAAGTTGTTGTAAAAAAGACGAATTTAGTATTCGTTATCATTAGCGCATGATAATAATCTTTATTATCGTACAATACTCATTAATAAAAAGGTAAACAGTAAACAGAAAATTATAAAATGTTGTCTGTAGTACACGATATTTGAAACTCTAAAATTGTTTTACATAATATTTTCAAGTTAAAAATTCAATAAAAATTAAAAACGTACATAAATTAGGATCCAACTTTTTTTCAGTACTGAAATGATCAAAAATTTGAATGCGGAAGCCTGCAGGTATCTCATCAAAACATTTATCATATTAATCTGTTTCACTATATTAAAGCATTCACCGCATGTCGTCTAAAAATAAATTTGTTAAAAAACGTGTTATTATGAAAATCTAATTAAATTTCTTACTCTATACTGAGGTTATGTTACTGATTATAACGGTCTTCTTCGCAAGTATTTCATATTTATTGTACTACTTTTTATAAGTAAACGAATTTTACTAGTTTTTAAACAGATTATAGTTTATAATATACTTTATATACCTACTTTTATTAATATAATTTATAGTTGGCTATAGGAAGCTCAGTTATATTATTGTGTATTAATATAAATACAAAACATGGTCCTCATTATGCCAACTACTAGTTCTTCGTAATAATTCAAAATGTATAAGAATCATTATTTTTTCACTAATGTTTCAAGGTAAATATTATTTTGGCATATTAATTATTAAAGGGGCTAGAACAATACATAATTTTTCATGTGTTTAAATCAATACGCGGAAGGAAAATAAACATACTCTCACCAGCTTAACTTTAATTTTGTTAACTATATATTTTGTTCGTACACTCTTTTTCTGAGTTTGTTCAGAAATTAATTTAAATAAATTGACTGTATAAAATAAAAACCAAATAAATATACATTAATTTATTTCGAAAAATTAAATTAACTGACTATAGTACTATACATTATACTAAACTAACTAGGTACTGAAAATAAAATCACAAATTCAAACAAACCTAGATAAATGCCATCGAAATAAATGTTTTTCGATATTAATATTGATCGACCGAAACAATGCGAATTTTAATTTACCCTTTAGACTTTGTCGCTGTTCATATTAAATTTGTATCACATAATAATATTGTAAGGAACTTAGGACCAGAGCAGTTATTTTTCTACCCGGCTTATTCTTATTGCTAAAACTGTAGTTTAACGTCATGATGCCGTATATCGTTGTGAGTATCAACGATACACATTATATTGTAGGCAGGAATACACAGCTTGCGTGACACATCATGTCATTGGCTCACAATTACTATTATATACGGCCCGTTGGATCACACTGGGAAATTACACGGTCGGCGGGCCGGTCTCTTTGATGACCGACGGTAATAGATTACATCGGACAATTACACATTGCACGCATGCCCCACACGGGCACACGCACGTATACATACATTTATATATATTATATGTGTGTGTGTGTGTGTGAATGTATAGCTGTACGAACTGTACTTAGACACTCACAAAAATAATATGTACTATGTATGCGACAAATTGAATTCCGTGTATACCGAAAAATTGGACGCCCTTCCTGCCCGACTGGTTTAACCTTTGAAAAACTCTTTCGGGGCTAATTGTTTTTGATCACACGGCGCCGTGAACGTTGGTTCATCATAACAACTAGGTATAGTTATTTTTGTTATTGATTTTTTTTTTTTTTTTTTTTTTTTTATATATATATATTTATTGTTATTGGCGAAACCAGTTACCTATTTACGTATAGTATTGAATTGCTGATGCGGTTATGTGATATAAATCTATATAATACATACAATTTTTAACTTCAGTTTTAGTAAAAAAAAATATATATTTCCATATTATTATTACTATTCTTATTATCGGAGAACTACTACAGTAGCTATATATATACTACATATAGAAGAGAAAGTTTATACAATAGGCACCTATTCAAAAAGTATTAAAAAATAACAAGTTTCAAAAAATGTAGATAACCCACAGCTATAATATACGCTTAATAACCTCTACCTGAATTTATACATGGATAAATATAAACGTTTATTGAAATTTAAGATCTTACACGTCATACTAGTCTGTAATTAAGAGGATACTTTTTTTTTTTTTTAACAAAATAATTTTATATTTATTATTATCCAATTAATAACTATTGCGTTTATTTTAGTTTATAATTATAAAAAAATATATACACAAACCTATGTATATAAAAATATTATGTGAATGCATGCATGGGATTTTTTCAAAGGTGGTCTTGCTCATAGTAATTTTCTTTAAATTATATACTATACTGTGATGCTAGAGAAGAGGGACATTTTGTAGACAAACATTTTTAAGAAGAGCGGAAGACTATGACTCCTTAACCATCGTGTGTAAGCCACTGTAAATACGTAGTTTTTTGCACGTTAAACCGATCTTTAAACATCTATACGTAATAATTGGTTTATAAATTACATAGGTATCAATGCGTTATAAACGTTTGATATTATTAGAGCTATTGTGTGTATTCATGTTAAACACGATGTATCAAGATAAATTCACTTTTATTTCTATAGCGCAAAAATGAATTTACATATTATTTACAAACACGCTGCACACAAATATATAATATCTATGTATATAAATAGGTACAACACTGGTTCATTAATAAATATACTTATCATAACTTAAAATTATTTAAAAAGTTTTTTTTTCTTTTTTTTCGATTTCGTCGTCAAAATATTGTATGATGATATTAAAACTAAACTAATAAATAATAATAATAATAATAATAATAATAAAAAATAATTTTAAAAATAAACAAAGTTGGTAGAGGTATACAATAGTTGCAGTTTTAATAACGATGTGACTGACTGCACATAAATTGCTGCTGTTGCTGCTGCTGCTGCACGTCGACGTAATACGCCGCTGACACTACGGAGCTGCCTGCAGTGAGGCCGCACGTGCACACGCCGTCCACGAGTAGGCCACACGGCGATGGTGGCCGCGGCCGCGGTGCCGTGGGTTTCAATATCTCTTCGATGGTGTATGGCGTATGCGGCTTCTTCGGACCTGGCGGCGCTGGTTGGCCGTTGGATGGTTCGCCTGCGATGCTCGCGGATCCATTTTCGTGAATGTGCTGATGGATTCGTTCGTAGTACAAGTCTATAAATCGAATAAAATATTAAATTATATAACATTAACATGTCTTTTATTATAATACGTATATCGTCTATAGTGATAGACTATTAGACTCCGAATTTATATGCATTAAAAAGTCACGAGGTGTGTTCCCAAAAATGTGTGTGTTTCTCCTCAAACTGGGAGCCGTGGCTATACGACTGGTGGGCCGTGAAATATTTACTTTTAGTATATGATTAAGAAAAAATAGTCAATGATTTTGATTAATGGAGCCTTGACAGTTTCACATTAAATTTATTGTGGGGGGGGGGCGTTATAAAATGTTTGAGAAGCACTATGTTATTAATGCATCAAAAACGTAAAATTAATCTGTGGTAATATTTGTTTGTAAAAATCGCATTAAAAGTTACTTATACTTAAATAACAAAATAATTCAATATGCCATACAAAAATCAGATATGACTTTATATTTGTAAAATATGCTTCAAAATAATTTAGAGCTGTAATTCCAAAAATGAAACGTATTGCTGCACGTTATAAGGTTAACAACATTTAAGATTAAAATTTCGAAGTGTATATAGTTAACATTTTTGCTATATAATAAATTAAGTGATAATTTAATTTATATAATCTTCATAGCTAAATATTTTACCTAAAGGATGCATCCAAGGGAGGTTGCGTATAGGAGAAGGTGTAATTAGAGATCCGACCATTCTGTTTGATACATCTTGTTTGCATCTGGTACTTTTTTTTGAAAAATGTCCTTGTGTAATCTAAACAATAAAAGGATTTTGATTAACTTGGTAGTAATAAACAGTATACGCGTGGATGATGAATTAAATATTGCTTAATTTTTTTGGTTAAGACCAAGATTTAGAGCTACGTTGTTTGTCGTGCATCATATCGGATCCAAAAGTGGAACCTAACTATGAAAATTTCCCGTTAAATCGTGGTTATAGTGAGTGATACTATAATCATAGGGGCAATTGGTAATTGGGTTACATTTTATTTACCTGTATCGTATATAATAATTGTTTACATTTTATTACTCGGGTATTGGGCAATAAATTTTCTAAAAGGTACACAATCAAATGGACCACAAATGTGTAACACAAAAACCGTTGGCAAGTGGGTACCACTCTGCTATACATAAAGTGTTGAGTGAAACACTATTATGAGTGTGTTAAGTTTTAATTTAATAATGAATCATTGTACACGAAAAAACATTCTGAGCGAAGACGATCTATCAGTTTATAACACTAAGTATATTTTGTGATAAGGTTTTTTTTTTTTTGTACATTTATTAATCATAAGAACATGAAACTATTATTAATTTTAATATCTATTACCTATATAGTTATAACAAATGATTTTTAAAATAAATTTGAACTGTTATGTATAATAACATGTATACATAGTTATTAAGTTATTTAAATAATTAATCAACTGAATTAACTTTTAAAATTTTAATTTTAATTAAAATTAAATTTTTTAGTATAGTTTTAATACTTATTTTTGTAAAAATCAACTACTCTATGAGCCAAATATTGTAATTTGTAGATATAAATCTATTGCATTCTTAGCTATATAGCCTATTACAATTTACTATAATTTTAACAAGAACAAATATCTCGCAATACTACGTAACTTAGCTATTGTGTGTGTGTAGGTACCTTATTTTTTTGCAATCCAGCACCTCCGATAGAGCCTGGCCGTATTGAGCCAGTTTCATAAAATCTAGTTAGGATTTTTGATACGCATCCATGTGAAACCAGAAGTTGTCGAGATATATCACATGGGCGGACACCTAATAGAGCTAGCTGTACTATACGCCTTCTAACGTAGTCGGGCAATGGGCGACCGTTGACAAATACTCCACCTAATTGGTTAACACCAGCTTGACCTGTAATGTGAATCAATAGATGACATTATTATGAAATTATCAATTATTTTATAGTCTATTAAAGTTTTGAGAAATAATTATAATTATAACTTATAATAATAATTAAACAATGATTTGAGTTTTATCAAAAAATAAAAGTTGTTTGTGACAAGACGTACCAATAAATCTATTATTTAAATCAAATTTACACAATATACTATATATTAATATCTACTACTTGACCTATTTTCAGCTGATACATTTATATCTTATAGTTATATGTAGTATCTAATAATAATAAAATTGTTAACTTTTAGATACTGTTTGTTGAAATCTAGGTAATATTTTATACATTTTTAAATGGTTTTTATGCATTATTGTATAAACTTATAAGGGTACAACATTAAAATAAAATCGTTAACATATTTTCTAAAAATATTTAATATTTCAAAATACCAATCATTTGTATAATATAAAATATAAATACTTGTTGGACTAACCGAGCTATAATTGATAATAATGTTCGATTATGTGTTATTTTTATCAATATTATTTTTATTTCAAAGTATATTACTTCAGAACAAATGACGCTGGCCAATATATCAGAAGATGAATTTATTTATATACGTACTTAAAAATATAAATTAATATTTATTAATTTTTAATATAATTATATTTTTTCTAGCATTTTATGGGGTCAATTTTTCTTATTGAGTCATTTTTTAGATTTTTTAGTTCATTTAAATCCTAGCCCTAGTTATAAGTAACAATGCACTATTTTGTACTTGAGACATTTGTGTTAAAAAATAAAAAATATTAGATAACTCTTGGTCCTCATTATTCTCAGGTGTTTACAGAGAATCAAAAAAAAAAAATCCTGCGGTAAAAAAGAATATAATTTCGGTATATAGCGTGCAATGTGCATAATATATGGTATAGTGCATCGAGTCGGGTCGATTGGAAGACCTTCTGGCGGTTTGGGGCGGATCCGAGCCGGTGAAAATGCTGCGTCTCTGTAATTTTGTAAAACTACCGCCCATTAACACCTAGGTAAAAATAAGCAGATGTACAGACTCGGCTCCCGGTATTTATATCATCATTTAATTCTCTGCGACGTTCTGCGAGACATATATATTATCTGCAGTGTAAGACGATATGCACATAATTGATTTAAATGTGTAGACAACTGAACGAACGAAATGCGTAACACGTGGATGTTGCACAACCAGTTTTTTTTTTTTTGTATAACTATATGTACACAATTATAATTATTTTGTATAATTATTATTATGCGTGCATATCGTGTAAGTATTTAAGAATTGTTGCCTTATTAGTGTAGCCTTTAATATTCAGGTGCACGTGCCTCGTTTATTACTTTTAGCATTTAATGCCGCAAGTGGACTGCAGATGACTACAGGTTGTAAAATAATTAAGTCAAAACATTAAACTGATCTCAAAAAAAAAAAAAAAATAAATAAAATAAAATAAACTATAACATAGTTGAAGACATCGTTTTTGGAAATTTCAAACAATAATAATAATAATAATAATGCGTAGTAATTAGCAGTGATGAGCTAAAAATACGACTAAAAGTTAAATGATTAATACGTCTACATGACTATATGCCTTTACGAAGTTTTCATTAAATAAATGATGTATAAGTGCTGTATAATTGTATAAATAACGAGATGTCATTATTATAATTTTATTTTTATATTTTATTGAGCCAGACGGGCCAGTGACAGTAATAAACTAATAACTATAATAATAACTTTATTAAATTAAATATTTAATTAAAATTAAAATTATACTAAATGGATTAATGCTTACCAGTATGTGGCATAATGTGTTCAATAGGTGATGACGCACTGGAAATGTACCAATATGATATTATATTTAAACACGTCCTCTTTTAATTGTCAACGTAACTCTCGTTGAATGTTTTATTTTAAAAAGACTTCATCTATAGTATTCCAATAACTCATCTAGAAATTAGAGTTTATTCATTAATCGTTATTGGTTAAGTTTTAATAAATAATGGTAAATAATTCTAATAAAATATTTTAAAAAAAAAAGATTATTTTTTTATGAAATTATTATTATATTATTATATAACTAAATCAATTATAAGCTTATAATTGATACATTAAGAAATTGTTTAATCGTATCCTCATGACTTCATACTTTATACAATATGAATATTCATAGTATTTATACAAATGAAATTGTATGGATAGAATATTTTAAACATTATAAATTAGCGCTTCTCAGATTAGTCCAAGGGAGCTCCTACCGCCCTATCAGTGATTCCGGCCTGTACACATGACGTATGAGACATTTTGCAAAAAAAAAAGTATTCGAAAGAAAGTTGGTATGGAGGAGAGGTCTACAGCTAAAACACATTCATGACATAATTAGCTTAATAATAACTATTATTAACATTGAATTAACGTTTAAATTGCATTGTTATAGGACATAGGTACATGGGAATATGCAAAACTATTCCTTCAAATCTCAATAATTGTAAACTGCACACCTGTTTATTTGATATTATTTCCAAATAAGTAAATAAGTACACATTTTATTTTTATAGGTACCTTTATATTATTATATTATCAATCTTCTGTAGAATATAATTAGGCAGATGATACACGCGTTGTTTTCCGATGACCACAAGTTATCCACTTACCCTTGCAGGCGGTGTCAATGAAAACAAAACAAAAAAAAAAAATAAAACAAAAATTACACCAGGTGTAAAATATAGTAATGGGTTCCATTACGCACGTCTCTGTACGGATGCGACGACGACGTATCATATTATACACGTCATAGTATCGAATATAGTATAGACATAGACAATAGATGTCTATACCGTTATAGTATCAACAGTTATCTACGGTGTTCGATGTATAAATATAATTTTTGCCAATATCTAAGCTAGATTGGTTTATGTGTAAATGTGTTACACATTGTGCGCGATACGCATAAACAAAATTGTGCGACGCGTTGCGGCGAGCAGAGGGCTGGGAGATATATTTTATTTTTTTTTTAATAACCATTAAAATCGAAATCGATTCCCCGCGGACTTATAAAAACGCGTACGCATACATACATATATACGTATTTATATATATATATATATCGTATTAAACCGCAGGTCCTTTTTGTCGGAGCGGGCATAAATATGTCACATATTATTTTGCGATACACGCAATAAATTATTACGCGTACGATACATTGTGTTGTTATTACGAGCATGTGACGACCTGCAGACAAATCGTACGATATTATAATATTCGTATCGCGACGCGTTTCGATCGGCGGCGTTAAGTACGCGTGAACAACGCGCCAGTGGGTCCGCAGCGGCGGCCACGGTCCGGTTGACCCGGGAGAATCCCCCGCCGGCGAGCGTGCGGTGCGATGCGCGATGTGCCCCGGACCGTGTCATTGGCGTCCTAGGGAGGTGCGGCGGCGGCGGCGGCGGCGGCGAAGGCAATTCTCCCGAGAGGAGAGAGTGAGAGAGATAGAGTGAACGAGTGAGAGGCGGCTTTATCGCGTCGACTTTTCGAGATCAACCCGGCGGCGGCGGCGGCGGCGGCGGCACACACGCGCGCAACCACACACGAACGGGTACGCACAATAAAATATTATATCGTAATAATCGTAATGATACTGCCGCAGTGTTGTTACACTGTTATCACACACCGTCGTCGCCGCGTAATCCCGTGTTAAACGCGCGTCCCGTGCGTCACACGTGCGCGTGCGCGGCCCTCTAGCTGCAGTCGTCCCGTTCGCACGGATGAATTGTTTACAATAATAATAATATTATATAAACGGTGGCGGTGTCTCGCGCGATGGGACCCGTGCGCGTGTGTGCGTCACGTACTTATCGTCGTTTCGAAGCCGCCAACGTCGCCGCCGCCGCCGCCGCTGTCGTCGTTCGGTGACTTTAATAATTGGTTTTGCCCTGCACCGCAGGTTGGTTTATTGACACGGTTATAACGCCTTATGCTCCGCACATTGTATATTATACAATTCATAATACGTCCCGGTTACTACGCCGTATAGCTAGTCGGTAGGTACTTGTGTTCCACGTATTATATTCATCCACATAACCCAGCAGCAACCACCACCACTATCACCACCTCCACCGCCTCCACCGCCACCACCATCACTACTTGCGCACCACCTCGTAATCGTCTGTCTTCCGGGATAGGTATATGTACATCATGAATTATTACTTCATTTCAAAGACTGCCTATATATCGTAACTCCACCACCGTGCACTCGAGTGTGTCAACGTTTATTTTTCTCTAATCACGACGTACACATCGGACATATCATTATCATCGTCTTGTTGGTTTCGTATTTTTCATTTTTTTTTTTTTTTTTTTTGATTCTACTCAGCATTGCCCGTCATAAATCATATCACACGTGGATTTTCCCCGTCTTAAACTCGTCTGTGACTATATGCAGATTCTTAGTACAGCCATTTATGGATGGGTTTTCATCAATTTCATCATTGTAAATACCATATAATAATAATTATTACGATTGTATTTTCTATGACAAAAGTTATTAGTTTTTCGCGAGCTCCTTTTTTTTATGTATGCGAATTTCGGAAAATCTTATTTTATCCCACTTTTACACAGTTAGAAATATATACTACCAATAATATCTGCAGGTCTCTATGTCGACTATGTCTACCGGTTTGGAGATGACGTTGACGAATGAGTGTATAAGTCTTCTTCCTATTTATACATAAATTAATATGTAATATAGAGTGGTCTATACCAAGCTTTTAATAATGAGTATGTCACATTCTGATTTTTATAGAATTTTGACGTGCCCATATTTAATACTTCATTTTAAGTATCTGGATTTTGTATTTCTGTAAATTAATTAATGTAAACGATTTTTTTTTTTTTAATTCAACGTACCCCAATTAAAATTTGAACGACTAGATTTTAAGTCGATTAAAGATAATAGGAATATTATTATAGGTTTAGAAGATATTACGTATAGGGACTATGATGATTTAAAATTTTTAGTAATTAATGATAATTTATCGACATCTTACAAGTATATTTTATAAAATTCAATAAAGAACTGGAATTAATTGAAAAAATTACCAAAAGATATAAATAAATTTTATATAGTTCAAAAATGTATATGATTATTATTAATCTAATAAAATAATTAATTTAATTTATTTTATCATTTTCCAATAAACTATGATTGGATTTTATTTCATTTCGTAAATATTCAAGCCGAACTATTGATTTAGTTAGGTGGTTTAAACATTTGCAATTCTCAATTAAATTTTAGTATACATAGATAGATACGCATATTATTTTTATATATATTTTTTTTTTTTTATTTTTATATATTTTTATTATTATTTTATTTTAGTGCATTATTAAAGTTTTATTTAAATTTTATTATTTGTACACTGCTACTAATTATCTAATTACATTAACTATATACCTTCATTGTATTTAAATTTTTAAAGTACATAAATTAAATTCGGTAAAATATTTTCATACTTTACCAATAAATAATTCAATATATTATAAGCTTTGAGCTCTCGCGTGCCACAAATTGAAGTATACTTCAATAATTATAAATTATTATATAATATAAGCAAAGGCAGGCATTAACTAGTTAGTTTATATTCTAATCAATTTAATATAAACTTAAGAAATTAAATTGACAGTTGAAATAACTTAGCTTTTTGCAGTTGATGCTAAGATTTTTTTTTTTTGATAAAATTATGAATTATAAATTGTATTGTTTAAATTTTATATGACCTTCAATTGTTATATTATATAAAAAAATAATATTTGTTAAATTATTAATTTGAGACGTGTATAGTTTAAATTAATAAATAATATATTATGTAACGTATTTAGGTACACTGTATAATGCACATTATGATAAAATTTCAATAAAATTGTTTTTTATAATTTTAGTAAATTAGATAGATATAGTCATTTTTATGTGATTTACATACTGATAAAAAAAAATAAATAGATTAAATTTTTTTAAACTGAGTTAAGTTAATATTATTTTCTATACTAAATCTTAACTTATTGAGTTAAATTTATAACTTGTTAACGGTTAACTTCTAACTTATATTGATCTTATGCTCTTATAACTTAACCTAACTTGAGTTAAATATTTAACTAACTTGTTTACCTTTGCGTATAAGTATAGAAAATAATTATTTTTACTATGGAAATTATGGAAATTATGGAAATTAATAAAATTAGTTTTTAAATTAGTTATTAACTTGAAGTAAAATATAATTTTCATTTGTAGATATCAATTCATGTTTACGTTCACAGTCAAACATAACTTCTGTCTACTAATAATAATACACATGTATTTTAGATTTAACAAAATGTGGAGTAAACTTTAACAAAAAACTATAGACCACACTATGTATATACTGCACAATGTTTTATTATTTTATTAATTAAATTAAATTGTTTACACTTATTTTGAAGTCTAGATTACTTCAATAATACTCTTAAAAAAATAAAATCTTTACAAACTTCTTTCCAAGACCTATCTCAAAATGTTGTTATATAAATTTTGATCTCCGTTAAAAATTCGACTTGAACGAAATTCAAAACAAAATCTATTGACCAATCATAAATGCACTATTTCTTGTTATAAATAAAATTTTATACATATAAACTTATAAATAAAAACACTTGTAGGAACAACAATAAAATTGAATAACTCGTTTATGATAGTCTTTAAATGGACATCCAAACATCATTACAAAAAATGTATCCAAACCGATTTCTAGTAAACTCTAAAATGTTGAAAAGAAACTGGAGTAAAACACTATAAGTGCCGTCAATGTGTGGCTCCTAATAAGTGATTTTAATGGAAAATAACTATGAAGAAATTTAAAAATGTATTGAGAACAGTAGGTACGTGTTGTTTTTAGTTATTCCAATATTTGTTTAAAAAA